TGAGAAAACATGAGAGATCCTTCACCATTTGTTTTACTTTTCCTCACCACTGCTGTCAGTCTTCTGAAGGAAAGGGGGGAGAAAATTGCTGAGCACTCGTCAGGGGAACAGAACAATGAGTTTTATCAGTAAGGCAGTATATGCTGAGGCTGCCTCAGATCCCTGTGCATTTCTGAATCCCTCTATGCAAATGTGGTCTCATATTAAAGAAGAGAGATTTAAATTTGTTTACTTATAAAAATGAAATTTCCATCAGAGACATTTGGTATCTACATTCAAAAAAGTGAGAAAAAGAAAACCTGCATCATAGTTATGTATTCCGGCTGAATCATTTAAATAAGCGTCTTGTCTTGGTGCTATTTTGAATAGTGAAAATATTGACTGCTTTCTTTCTCTAAAATGTTCTGACCTAAGTGTAAATTATATAGCTACCCTCTTATGGGATTGTTTCTACTTTCTCTATAGAAATATAAAAATTATATATTGGTTGTTTATTAAACAGAGTGTAGACCCAAAGCAGCTGCCTCAAGACCCAATTGGCCGTCCCATCATGCACCTGTCTGGTATTAAACATGCCACAGGAGAAGCCATCTATTGTGATGACATGCCTGCAGTAGACCAGGAACTTTTTCTGACTTTTGTAACTAGTTCAAGAGCTCATGCTAAGATTCTGTAAGTGTTCTCACCCAAAAGGTACCAATATTTTCCTTTTCATCTGACTCCACCCTGTTAATGAAAAGTAGTGGTCTGGTGGGGGTAAACCAGGGTTTGTGATACCCAGTTCAGACTAGAGATGGGATTGAAATGTAGGATTCATTACATTTTTTCTCTGTATAATAATTTTATTGTCCCCCAACTTTTTCTACCATTGCCTAGCAGACAGCTGCCAGAACAGTCCTTTGACAGATCCTGCTTTCTAACTAGCCATATCCTCAGGGCTTTCGGGGCTGTGTCGCTGCACTGAGGAGCTGTGTTGTGTGTTTTCCTAGGTCCATTGATCTGACAGATGCTCTCAGTCTGCCAGGTGTGGTGGACATTGTGACTGCTGAACATCTTCAGGAAGCAAACACTTTCAACACAGAGACATTCCTGGCTACAGATAAGGTACTGTATTTTTGCATTTTGTTTGAAAAATAACTTTCCCAGTTAACAGTACTACATATTTACATAAAGATAGCATCTAATTCAGCATATTATAAAAAATTCCAATATTCTTTTAATAGTAATTATGAACCATAAATATCCTAATAGATACAGAATGAATTCAAGTGTATTCATTTTCCATATAAGTAAAGTTGACTGGATTATGATTATATATGGCACTTTGGTGGCTGGAGATGTAGCTCAGTTCTTGCAGGGCTTTCCTGGCCTGCAGGAAGCCCTGGGACTGATCCCCAGCACCATATAAACTGGACATGTTAGTGCATGCCTATAAATCTAGCACTTGGGAGGTGGAGGCAGGAGGATCAGAACTTCAAGGTCATCCTCAGCTACAGCTACATAGTGAGTTTGAGGCTAGCCTCGGATTCATGAGACCCTGTAACCAAAAAAAAAAAGGTAATTTGATGTTTGTATTATATAATAGTAACATAGTGTGCTGCTAAGAACAATGAAAGAATAAATGAACAGAGAATTACAACTGTCATTTGCAAACTTCTCCCCTGAGAATTCCTTGCTATTGCCTCAGTCCCAATGTATCCAGAGTTCAAGTCTGAGTTCAGCTGGTATCTCCAGTCATTATTGCCTCTGGATCCTGAAGTTCTCTATCCCTCTCTGAGCTCACTCTGATTCATTCATTCATCCCTTGTATAGCCCATTACATTTTGAAATGAGCATCTGTTGTGCACAGAAAGATGTACGGTCCTTGCCTTTACACATCCACTCTCTTCCTTGCACTACACTCATTTATTTGAATGTTTTAGCTATTTCCCTATCTACTATCATTCCTCCAGTGAGGGCCCATGTTTAATTCATGTGCATATCCCATTTACTGCCTAAGTCACCACCATACAACAAAGATGGTATTCAGCAGATTTTCTGCACATCTCAACAACTCAGTTCGTTGTTTACCCAGAAGAGCTTCATGATTTGGAACCACACCTACCTCTGTCTCTCACTGGCAGACATAGTTGATCAGAATGAAAGCTTGGCCCTCCCAAGACTGAACTCAAGGTTGAAACTGCCCCATGGCAAGGCTGCTTAACACTGGCAGAGACAAAGAGAATCAAGGTCCCTGCATAAATGTTAACTAAACAAGCAAGACTTCCTGGAGGCACAGTGGCACCTCTCCTCTAAAGTGTGCCCTTATAGATTATAGATATGTTGTGGGGAAGGCATGTCAGAGTGCCAGGTCATAGGGGCAGAGTCCGGTCATAGGAGCAGCACTGTTGTTAATGGTTGCCTAAGCAGGTTTAATTCCTTTAAAACATTGATTTTTAACACTTCATAGCTTTAAAAATTCTTATGTTTCAGAAATTGTAAGCAGAAAAACAGAGACTAGGGCGACGAATCCTAAGGATCTATCATCTCCTTCAACATTATCAACATGTCTCTCTCTCCATTGACCTCGCCCACACCTAATTGCACACTGCCAGCATGTGTGCCAGATTTAACATTTAACATTAATTTTCTCTCTCAACAATAACTTCTCATTTTCTTCCTCCTCTTCTCCTCATTCTGCATGCTGGAGATTGAACCCAAAGCCTTGTGTGTGGTAGACAAGTGCTCTACCACTTAGCTAATCCCTCCAGACCCAATACCACCTCTTTCCTGATGGCAAAGCATCCATTATGTTCATTATAGAAGAAACATAATAGTCTAAAATAAATTTCTAAGTGAGTGATTACACTTACATGTGATTCATGGCATAAGAGAGTGAACTCAACTGGTAACTATCCAGTCCAGACTCTTACGCCTTTCTTGAGCCTTAGTTTTGTCTTTCCCCATTTAATTTTTTTTCCTGGTCCCTGTGACAGCTCCTTAGTCTACCTACCCACATGCAGGTGAAAGAAAATTGATTGCAGCCCCTGGGGAAGGGATGCTCTGTGTTTGGTCAGGTAAATGTTATACCTCTTCAGGAGAAGCCTGGGCTCCAACACAGCCTATGGGCAGACTCGCTGACCAGCAGTGTTGAGAACTTCCCTTTCCAAGTCACCCTCCCTCTCTCTGGCTGAGATGAGCTATGACTTCTTGGCCCTCCCTCTCCACCCAGGCAGAACTGTTTTTCTCTTTGAATAAGGAAGACCACAGTGGAATGAAAGGAGCAGACCTACTGTCTGCCTTCTGCCCTACCTGACAACAGAGGTCTTTCTGTGCTACAGGTCCATTGTGTAGGTCATCTTATCTGCGCAGTGATTGCAGATTCTGAGATTCAGGCCAAACGAGCTGCAAAGCTAGTGAAGATTGTCTACCAAGACCTGAAGCCGCTGATCCTAACAATTGAGGTATGGGTTCAAGCTGATGCCAGTTCCGGGGGCAGAAGGGCAGAGATGAGTGGTGTGTCCATTAAAATGCTTTGGTATCAAAATAGGAAAATTTGACTCAAAGTGTTTTCAAAGCCCAGAGACTGATCTGGCTCCAAACTATATCAGTATTAGCAATCCCAAGAAATTTAGTTCTTTCTGCCTCTCCTCTCTGTTCATGTACATGAGAACAGGTACACGGTTGTACCAGCACTCCAAGCCATGTCCTGAGACCCAGATTCATTAGGTTATTTCAGTTCCTGATTTAATGACTGACCAGGGGAAGAGAAGACCTACTGTCACTATTAGGTTGGGGATGGGAGCAGATTTCTTTGAAGTGAGTGGCATGGAATGTTTAGGCAATATGGAGACCTAAACAGAAACAGCACAGTTTAGAAGAGACAAGGTGAGAGGAATGCTGGACAGGCCACTGGGACAGTAGAGCTGACCCTATAGCTCCAATTCACCATCTTGCAGGCACTGGCAAGCACACAGTGGGGAATGACAAGATCCCCCATGAAGCAAATACTGGTGACACTATTTTAGATTCTTGAATGTATATCTTAAATATCCATGAGACACAGATCATATGATGCCTACAAGTATTTTGGCAACTGAAAAAATTGGATAATTGCATTTTCTATCCTAATTTTTAGATAGAGTTTGTAAGAACTACCTCCATGAAATGATAGTGTTCACCTGTATACATTCCATTGGTTCTTATAATTTACTGCACAATGAATGAATGAAACTGCATGAATAGATAAGATTCAGTGCATGGAGACTGCATGTGCGCTGGGAACACAATGTTACCTTCACAACATAAGGAGTGAGTTGATCTCTAAGTGACTGGGATGGCCCAAGGCAGATAATGGGGAAATGACTTGGCTAAGATCAATGTCTCTAGAAGAACTTGGCTGCTTTATGCCTATGCGCATTGCACTTGGTTCTGGAAGTTTTCCTTAGGGTTTTCAAATTAAAATAAAATAAGTCAAAAAGACAAAAAGAAAGAAATTTGGTTTGATTCCCTAGTTTTTTTCAGATCCAACCATTGCATTCCCCTGTCAGTCCCTTTGGTTCATATATGTTGCCTGCTGTTCTTACTTACTTTATATATTCTTTCTCTGAAACTTTTGCTTTTGAATTATAATGACTTTTTGTTAAGAAATTATTTATGGGGCTGCGGAGATGGCTCAGCAGTTAAGAGCACTGGCTATTTTTGCAGAAAGACCTGGGTTCAGTTCTCAGCACCCACATGGTGCTAACAACTGTCCATAACTCCAATTCCAGAGGATCTGTCATCCTCTTCTTGCTCTGTGGACATCGCATGGTATAGGCACACTTACATACACACAGGAAAAATACTCATACACATAAAAATAAGTAAAAAAATTTTAAAATAAACTATTTATATAATACTTCATCAAAATTTTGTTTGTAATTCTTTACCCAATACCAGTGGGTAAATACCCATCCCCCTTTCCTTACCTCACAGCCAAATAAAAGCCCAAATAAGCAAATAGAGACTTTCCCCTTTTATTCCCCAGTCTCAACCAGCAGGCCCCTGTCAGAGAACACTAAATATCGGCATTCTGGAAAAGTGTTATCTCTCATTTTGATTACAGGTCAAGCTCACCAAAATCAGTCACCTGCCAGGCCACAGCAGGGAGTTATACACAGGTCTCTGCACATTGCAGTCCTATAACCGCTTTCCAGCCAAGACTATTCACAAAACTGACTCAAGGTTACTCAAAGAACAAAGCAAGTGACAGTGAAAAAGATTAAACTTTTTAAAATAGAATTTAGAAAAGCTAGCTTTTTTTTCAATTTGGAATATTTGAGCATTTGATTAATTTAAAAAAGCATATGAATGATTCCAGTATGAAGAATGTTATCAGCAGAATAGGATGAGAACATATCTCTGTCTTTAACCCTGGCTTATGATTTTTAGTAGCTTGGACAGGGAAATGCATCAAAACTCTTGGAGTAAGAGGTAATGACAGCTGAAGACTGCAGTGAAGGAAAGTGTTCTCCACCAGACTCTCTCCTTAACCTTCAGCAGCAGCAAAACTGTAATCAGTGGTCAGCACCTTACCGAGCTCTGCAGGAATGGTTGACATGATGCTACACTGGGTTCATGCACTAACTCACTAAGCGCTTACAACAGTCCTGTGAAGTGGAACAACTATCATCCTCACCAGATAAGGAAACTAACAGGGTTACCCAGAGTCACACAGGCAACTTAATAGAAGCAATCAGTGAACACTCCATCAAAGAGCACAGGTCCTGCAGTGGTTAAAAACAAACCATCTCGAATTTCTAATAGAAGAAATGGCAGAATCACAGTAGAACATCTATAAAGTGAGTGAAAGGAGAGGTCTACACAGAAACTGGTGTCCAGAGGGATCCAAAGGTAGAAGAATCTCCAACTGCCAGCAACCTAGAATTTCATAGACAGGCAACAATCCATGGTGGGTAGTGTTGCAGCAATACAAATTCTCAGAGCTGAAAAGAAGCCAATGTAGGCAATTATAGCTGCATCATTCCTGATTAGGTGTGTCAAGGTATTTGTCCACTGGGGAAACCAATATATAACTGAATTTGTGGCACCCAGGCAGGGCTTATAGGGACCCTCAACCCAGGGCCAGTGGTCCCTGGCACTCCATTGCCTTGTGCAATTGAAAAGCTCATCACCTTGAAGGAGGAGCATGAGGCTAGCTAGTAGGCAGAGCCACATGACCCCAATCATTGGTGTTTTCAGTTAGCATTTATTTAACATTTACTTTATGCCATAGAGCTCTGTACATGTCTCATTTCACAACTCTGTTGGAGTCATATGTGCACCTGCCACAGAGGCGGCCCAGAAAGGCCCACAGTAAAAGAGCTAGTAACTGAAGAAAATGGACATAACTATGTATGGATCTGAGTCAGCTAAGTGGCCTTGACTACATAAAATGGGTTATCAATTGAAGAGAATAGTTTGCCTGGAAAATATTAGTTCCATCCCAGATCCCCTAGGTAGTCAGTATTTTCTGGGCATGCTCTGCCCTTGGATTCACTGGGCATATTTGCATTTGTTCCTTGGGGGATCTCTGAAGCCTCATTCTAAACTTAGCTTCCCAGGGCCAAGGGGAGAAAGCCTGGATTTCACAGAAAGAGGAATGCTGGCCAAGCCTGCTGATTTGCCACAGGCAATGCCACAGGCATGGTAACTGCCATGGGCTGGATCTCTTCCCCAAGCTGCCTCACTTTTCTGTTCTCTTTCTAGGAGGCTATACAACACAAGTCCTTCTACGAGTCTGAAAGGAAGCTGGAGTGTGGAAATATTGATGAAGCATTTAAAATGGTTGATCAGATTCTTGAAGGTAAAACTTTCTGAAAAAAATTGAATGAGGGCAGCTTTCTGGGCAAGTGTTAAGTCGTCCTTTGCCTTCTAGAAATCATACAACAGCCTCAGTGAATGTTGTTCCCAGAAGGCAGACATCTCATTCATAAATGCCCCTCCCTATGCCTCCAGTGTGGGACTCCTAAAGAGATGTAAGAGGAAAAAAGATATCTTTTCCATTCCTACACCCACTGTTCTGTTGGGCGTGGTGCAGACAGACATGTTTATGGCCTACTGGCTTTTTGGTCCTAAGTGATAGGAAAAAGTTGGCGGAGAACGAGCGAATGGATCAGGAGGCACCAAGGCACAGCTAAAACTCCATCAAAATAGGGTTTATTAGCAAAGGAACACATGGGGCAGATACCCTTCCGGGAAAATGAAAAATGTCTGTCTGGGTCTTGAGCTGGGGTCTTTTTAAAAGGGAGGCTTCTGCTTCCTGCAGAAGGCAGGAAGATTTTTTTTTTTTTTTAATTTGGGTGGGGGTGGGGGAATGGGAGAGCAGGACTGTTAAAACCTGTCCTCTTTAGAGATCAAAGGGGAAGCCTGCTGAGTTGGCCAAACAGTGGAGAAAAGTCTGCTTCTCTTGACTTCAAAGGCCAAGGTGCTTATCAGCTAGGTTCCCTCTTCTCAGGAGCATGAGAAGTCCTTGGGATCCTGTTGGCAAGGGGGCAGGGCTATCTGAACCTTAACACTAAAGGTTCCATTTTTTTAGAAGTCTGAATATGTCTGGAAGAATCACTCCTAAACCCATAGTGCTGTAAAATTGTATCTCAGGGATGAATTGACAAATTAGTTTCCACTCTGGAGAGTTGAAAGCAACACCCAAAGTGAAGAAAGAGTCACTGTGGGTGGAGGGGCCAGCAGAGCGATAGGGTAATGTAACAGAATGCTAAACTTGGCCACTTTCACAAGTTGAAGCAGAAACAGTTCCTTCTGATATTTTTTTCAATTCTGTGTATTTTAGATGAAGTGACTATTTAATACAGTCTGGGTGAATAGGTAGAACCTATTGTGATTTATAAATCACTATGCCTGGGTATATCCTTTTAATTTTTAGATGTTTCTCCCCTCCACTTAAATGAACAGCCATTCATACTGACGTTCTGTTTGTACCCTCTGCTTTCTGTTTTCCCTGCCTTCCTGCAGGTTACTGAAGTCCATTTTGATTTATCTATTGTGCCTTTTAGTGTATCTCCTTGTGTAGATTTTTAAAAATAGCTCTAGTCATTAATATACATATATAATTAGTCTATTATCAACATTTTGACAGGTCAGATGTAGAACCTTACCCCCATTCCTGTCTTTATGCCTCTACATTCATACTGTAACTGTGAACTATCTTATTTTCTCATTCATCCGGAACCACATGAACCAATGTTATAATTTTGTTTTAAACACAATTTAGAAAACTCAAGAGGAAATGGAAAGTTGATTGTATTTACCTACATTTTTATTATTTCTGTTGTTCTTTTTCCTTCCAAGATTCCTTTATCTTATGAACGATTTTCTATCTGCTTCAGATCTTCAGGTCTATTGAAAACAAAGCCTGTTTTCTTTCAGCTAGGAATGCTGTGATTTCCTTTTCATTGTTAAAGAATACTTTCACCAAATATAGAATTCTGAGTTTACTGCTCTTTTAACATTAGAAACACTTTGTACCACTTCCTCAGGCCACCGTGGTTACTAATGAGAAATGCTTTGTTCCTGCAGAGGCGGTAATGAGGGTTTTCCCTTGATAGCTTTGAAGATAGTATTTTTGTGTTTAGTTTTCTAAAGTTCAACTATGTTGTTCAAGACATGGATTTCTTTGGATTTACCCACTTTGGGGACCACTTCTTGAATCTGAAGGTCAGCCATTACTTTTACAAATACTTAACTTCAGTGACACAGTGCCAGATTCCCTATTTTGGTCTCGTGAGTTTATGAAACTCTGCTCATTTTTTTCTTGTCTATTTTTTCGTTATTCAGATTGGTATGTTTTTATTGTTCTTATTCTCGTTCTTTACTTGTTTCTGCTTATTACTTATTCTGGAGAGTTTAGCCCATCCATCAAGTTTTTAAAATTTTGCATGTATTTTTCTGTTGTAAAATTTCCACTGGGTATTTTTATGTCATTTATTTGTTAAGACTATATTTTGATTATTTACCATTGAAGCATTTTTATTCATAATTTTTATTTTATTTTATTTTATGTGTGTGAGTATATTGCTTGAATGTGTGTAAGTGCACTCATGTCATGCACTGCCCACAGAGGTCAGAAGAGGGCATTGGATTCCCTGGAACTGGAGTTATGGGTGGTTATTAGCTACCACATGGGTGCTGGGAACCAAACCTGGGTCCTCTGCCAGAGAAAGCAGTGCTCCTAACCACTGAGCCATCTCACCAGCCCCTACCATTGAAGAATTTTGATGACGGCTGCTCACATATGTCAGATGATCCCAACATCTGTGCCATTGTGGTGTTAGTCTTTTCTCGTTGAGGTTGACATTTTTCTGGTTCTTAGAATAATAAGTGACATCTTGTAGAATCTGGGACATTTTGGATACTCTCATATAAGTTAGGATATAATATAATAAAAATATAATATAATAAAATATTAGTATCTTATTTGCATTTTCTGTACTGGAACTGACCCAGTGAAGGAAGGGGTGATGCCTTGCTATTCCTGTATGATGGAGGAAAGAAGTGCAGAATCCCCATCAGAACCCCTGATGTGACCCAGCAAGGAGTTTGAGAACTCTCATTTTAACCTGATGTGGGTGGGAATCTAGGCTGTCCACTCAACCTTTGCAGATAGAGGTGGGGCTGCAAATTCTTCTGTGGTGTCTTGTTGGGGTAGGCTGCTTACTGTCTCAAAGCATTTTGGTTTTCTATACTTTTTCTTTCTGATCATTTGGCTTTTATACTGCTATTTGTTTCTCTCTGCCTGTTGGTGTTTTGGCTCTCTAACTTCTCCAGAACCAAGTCTGGCACATATGGAACAAACGATAATAAGAACTCCCAAACCTATCTAACCTACTTGGGTACTTTTACATGTGTTTTGAAATCCCTGCTTACTCTGCTTTCTCCTCTCCACCTTTCAGGTCCTCTGGGGGGAGGGTGGGAGAATATGAATCTCTAAACAACAGATTAATTTGGAAATACAGAAATGCAATCTGCAAGATAACATACAGACCAGGGATAACTGATTATGTGGAGAACAAAGAAAGCGTTGGGGTTTTATTGGTAAAAGAAAGATTATGCAGTTCTGTAGAAAGAAAGCCCAGTGACACGGGCAACATCGCTGGCAGAACACAGGTGTGTTCTGATTGGTATGAGTCAGTATTTGCTATATTTGGTAGGTAAGACTTAGAATCTAGGAGGCCACTTGGGCCCTCATCATTTCGATTGGGCTTGGGAGACAGTCTTAGAATGGGCAGATGCAGCCCAAGTGTTTTCTCCTGTGGCCTCTTGATGCCATTTTAGCTGGACATCACATGAATGACTGCCTTTTGCACAATTAACTGTCATTAACAGTCAGTGTGAGTCAATGTATTTGACAGGAAGAACAGAGAGGAGTACATTATTCTATCTTGTTTTGGACTAGAAGGCTCCTTGTCAGAGAATTTTAGTTCTAGAAAGTCACACCTTTCCTTAGGACTCTGCAGCCTCACACACTGACAGATGCAACAGATTCTCCTACACAACTCTCCTTCAAGTCTGCAGATACCCTGAGAACTAAACATTGGTGTTTGTCACTCTTCACCGTGGGGCCATGGAGTTTCTGCACACGGAGACCATGGGAATGGAGTGGGGAGACTACCTGTTCTTCCTGTCAGCTTCTTTTGTTTCCTCTAACAGGTGAAATACATATAGGAGGTCAAGAACATTTTTATATGGAAACCCAAAGCATGCTTGCTGTTCCCAAAGGAGAGGACGGAGAAATGGATATCTATGTGTCCACACAGTTTCCCAAGTATATACAGGTAACATGGGGACATTGTGCAAGGGACATAGCTGGTTTCTGCCATCAAATATACCAAGAATAACTAGAGATAAAAAGAAAAATTGAGTACTAACAGCCCCATTGATTCAGAGCCATCTAATTTCTTAACTTTGAAGAGAGTTTCATTAAAGTAGGGACTTTTTGTTTATGGCTCCATAACTTTAAAATCTATTGTATAATAATTGATGTCATCCTGAAACAAAGGAAAAATGAGACAGGCCTGCCCGCTGAAGCTTATGGTACCTGATTTACAAGAGTAGTTAGGAAGCCACATTGGAAAAGATGCAGTCAGACACTAAATCAGCTAAATCAAAAATGACATGAGTGAGGAAATAAGAGAAAGGAGAGTTGGGTAAGGGCTAGACTCACCCAAGAAGTCTTACAAAAAAGAAGCCTTAGGTGTGGCTTTGTAGTAGGAGCGAGGTTTATTAGCTGGTAGAAGAGAGGCTATTCAATGGCAATTCCAACACAAGGTCAAGCACACACTTATTCACACAGTCATCTCTTCTACAAACGTCTTCTGTCTCTATCCAGTGTCCCAAGCAACTCACGTGCAAGAAAGGAGATGATACCTACCTAAACTGGTCTAAGCATCAAGGTAAAAGTCAGTAAACAAAGCAGAGGGATCTTGATTCAGAGGGTTCTAAGGGGCCAGAGCTGTCACCAGAGAAGGACAAATGTGAGGATGTGAACAATGAGGCCTTGGGGAAGGTGGAGCACTAAGAAGGGCCTGGTGACCTCTGTCTGCTCCAGGCCCATTCTGTTCCACTCCCTGTGTGACATGGCCCATGTATCCCACCCCACCCCTAATAAAAATCAGTTGTTAAGATCAAATGACCTATAAATATTAGGGTGAAGAAAAGAATGGGCCCTGTATCCAGAGACCACCAGCTGGTCAGTTTTCATGGTCTCCCAGTAAGAACATGAGAAGTATTCATTTTACAGTGGAGACAGTAGACTACAGTGGGAACCCAAGCTGGGAAAAGCATGGAAGTTCATGAAGTCTTACTGCTTCCAGAACCATCCTGAGGGATTAATTTAAAAGGGGTACTTTGGGTGTGGTTCTTGGGGAAAACACAAACACATTTTAAGTACAAAACTATCTCACTGGTATTGAAAGAACTAGTTGACATTAACAGTAGTTTGGGGAATGTTATTCTAGCCAAATATCAGTGAGAACTGTTGTGAATGGTGGTAAGGTTACCGGGGATTTTTATGTCTTTTATCATAAACACATGAACTACATGGTTTGTGTGCTATGCACAACATATGGAATCAAAGTAGGTGGTGGTAATAGCATTCATTCCAGGGGACAGGCTTCTTATATGGTTGTAGATGTGACAGTGACCTGCTGAAGATGGGTCAGATTAGTGAAAACTGTTCTTATTCACAGGATATAGTTGCCGCAACCTTGAAGCTCCCAGCTAACAAGGTCATGTGTCACGTGAGGCGTGTTGGCGGTGCATTTGGGGGGAAGGCAGGCAAAACCAGCATCATGGCAGCCATCAGCGCTTTTGCTGCCAGCAAGTAAGTGGCAGAAATCTGTTAAACATACTAAAAACAAAATGAAGTCTTCATATCAGCACTGCAATGAGAACGAATCTAAACTAAGATTATTTAAATACCACACATTACATAGCAATACACAAACAAGCTGCCAGCTTATTAAACTTATTTGTTTTATACTGTCAGACTATAAGAATTAAAATAAGTATCAATTACTGAAAGGTATGAAAATCACTGCAAAAATATCATAATGGGGGCTGGAGAGATGATTCAGCAATTAAGAGCACTGACGGCTCTTGCAGAGGACCTTCGATTCCCAGCACCCACATGGCAGCTAACAACCATCTGTAACTCCAGTTCCAGGGGATCCAACACCCTCTTCTGTACAACATGGGTGCACTTACTAAGTACACATACAGGCAATACACTTATACACATAAAATAAAAATAATAAATAAAAATTTGAAAATTTATGTAATGCCAGGAAAGTCAATAGAAACGGGGTCCTGAGTGGGTGGGACAACTTGTGCTTTGCACTTGTTAGTCTAGCTGCATGCTTGTAGACCAGGTATATGATCTTTTGAACGTCCTCTCCTTCTTGAATTAAATAGATATATTTTTTGGTTAAAATTACATTATTTATCTTGTGATTTTCCTTTGAGGGTCTCAAAATATTACCCTAGGCAATTGTCTTTGGAGCAGACACACTTAGAAGGCTTAATTTCTTTGTGGAGTAATATCACTAGCTTAGTTCTTCAATTCTAGCAAACAAAAAGACCTTGAGTCTAGATCTGTCCTATTGAGGAATGTTTGGAAGACAGATCCCACCTGTAACTTTACCATGTCAGTCAGACCTCACCTATGGTCCTCTACTTGTAATCAGTCTAAAATGGGCCTTGGAACTATTTGCTGTAGCCAAAGTTGTTCTCACAGTGGGAAACATCCTCTAGTGACACCCTAGAGCCTACAACACCCAAAAGCCTCTTTCCAATGAACAGTGAATGTCAGATGCTATATCCTGACACAAAGGAGGTGAGCCACTAAGCATGCCTGAGGCTGACCATGGGGAGTAGTCCTCGAGTTTTACTGCGCTGTGTACTCCCAGCAAATACTCGCTTTTATTATTATTATTATTTATTATTATTATTATCATTATCATTACTGTTGCTGTTTCAGACATAATCGTGCAGTCCGTTGCATTCTGGAAAGAGGAGAAGACATGTTAATCACAGGAGGCCGCCATCCTTACCTTGGAAAGTACAGAGTAAGTACAAGAACAGGTGGGGGATTTATGTTGCCAATAGAACATTCTGCAAATGCAGAGGGCAGCACTTGGCCTCTTTGATGGCGAATGACAAGGATCTAATCAACAAATGATACTTCTATTTAGTTTTCTGTTTCTTATGCTGTTTACTACGTGGTTCAGTGAAGAGTTTTTCCTTTGCCCAAAGGTGTCTGTTTGAGAGAATGTACTATCTATAACTGTCTTCTGTAGGGTGAATGACCAGAAAATCTGTGACTGTAAATGTCTGTGAAGATAGATCTGATAGCCATAGTTCTTTTCAGGTATAAAAAAGGTAAAAATAGCATATTTCTCCTAATAATAGTGTTATATGAAATTGAAAATATTTGCAAATTAGTTCCTCATTTTTTAATATATCAAGGGTATCTTGCAAAACTATATCCAAGCAATCTGTAGAAAAGTTTCTATAGAAGAAAGTAATTATTATTTTGCTTCTTAAGAGATGATTTTACATCAGAAAGGTGGCTAACTGCCTTAAAAAATAACTAAACTCTCTCAGGATTTTAAACCTTTATGACATTTTTCTTGTTCAAGTAGCAGCCCTATAGTCTTCATGAATAGGGGGAGGGGGAGGACTCTGCTCTGTAAAGTCATTCAGGGACTTTTCATGTTGAGGCACCTTCATCCCCTTAGACAGCACTGCTATTGTAGTCACTAGGTGCATAGAACTATTTAAACTCACATTTAAATTAATTCAGTTAAACTAAGATTCTGTTCTACAGTTTCATTATGTATTTCAAATGCACAGCAGCCACACATGGTTAGTGACTACCACATTAAATAGTGCAGACCTAGAATATTGCTATCATTCTAGAAAGTTCTACTGGAGCTCTGCACAAGGACTTTGAGTCCTGCACAGAGTCTTGTGCAACAGGAAGTAGGTAAAGCAAGAGTATGGCATCATGTAGAAGATATTTCAGGTAGCAGACCTATAAGTGGCAGGCCTCACTTCTATCTTGGGCATTAGCATTACCACCTATCAGTAGGTACCACCTCCCAGTGTTTAGAGCACAAACACACACCACCACAGCCAGCTTTTTAACATAATTCTGGAGAACCAGATTCAACTCCTCATGTTTGCAACTGCAAGCTCTTTATAAACTAAGCTGTCTTCTCAACCCCCTGAATATATTTTTTAGATACTCATAAATGTGTCTATTCACTCTAAGGTGAATTTTTAATGTAATTCAGTTCAGAATGATTCATGAGTTAAACTTTGTCCTGAGAAGATTACTTTCTGAGGAGAAGGAACAGGGAATACTCATATGTATGTATCATTAATTAAATAATGAGGACAAAATAAGTTCACATTAAAAGATGAAGCAGAGGAGGAGGTGAGTCTATGGGGAGAGATGAATGTGAGCTGGAGCATACAAGAAGACTTCTTACAGAAGATGAAACAAATGAAACTTTAAAATCTAGATACAGGGCACGTGAGATGGCTCAGCAGGTAAAGGCTTCTCACCAAAGCCTGATAGCCCGAGTTTGATCCCTGGAACCCACATGGTGGTAGACGAGAACCGTTTCCCTCAAGTTGTCCTCTGACCTCCATGTGTGCATCATAGCACATGCAACTCCCATAAACAAACAACAAAATCATTAAAAAAATAAAAACATAGAAAGCATAAAAGGTGATGTGACTAGCAATAGCAAAACTACAGAGGTAGAACAAACACTGTGTGTTTGATGGGAAGGAGTTGAGGGGGAGGGAGAACTAGAATGCAGAATACTGGAGAGTAGGGAAAATAAGATTAATTATTTAGGTGATACCAGTCCGAAAGGGGCCTAGCGCCCCAGAATAATACAATTAAACTTGATCTCACATAAAGGAATGAGACTGAATAGATTGTTGGTCAGTCACATGCCATAACTAAACATGTACTTTGGGAGATAAGGTGAGGATCATGGACAGAATGGCCTGAGGAACATAGGATGGAGCAGGTGGTCCACTGAGAGGCAGGATGAATTCAGACAGGAAGCAGTGGGGTCTGGGGCATGGTAGTATGGTGTGTGATAAATGAATCCAAGAGCATTTATTGTATGAAATAAAAGTATTTGTTGAAAAACTTGGTAAATGCAATGGTGAAAAGGCCACAAAACATGACTTGGAAGTTTCTAGAAGAAAGAAACAATCTGGAAGGAGTAATTGATCTGGAAGGAAAGACAGTGATGATCTTGTTTGTGTAAATGTTGCAGAAGTGACAACAGGGCATTGAAACAGAAATGTCCTTCACCAACATGGGCCTCGTTGAAGAGACCGTACCATAGTTACCAGAAGCCGTTATGATGGCAGTGGTTCAGGCTATGAGAAAACAAGGTTTACTGATGGAGAGTAGTGTGAGGACAGGAGGTGAGATTAGTATCGATATAATAATATCGAAAATTTATAGAGCGTGCACTTGCTCTGTGTCAGTCATTTGGCTGTATTTTCAATCTATCACCTGATTTATTTCCATTTCACAGACAGCCAGAGAGCACAGAGTACACTAGTTGTTTTTCCTGCTGCTGTGATCAAACACCCTGACAAAAGCTACTGAAGGGAGAAAGCCTGTTTTGGCTCACAGTTTGAGGGTACAGTTTGAGGTCAAGGCCGCAGGAGCTTGAAGCAGCTGGTCACATTGCATCTGCAGACAGGAAGATGAAAACTAGCACCCAGCTAGCTTTCCTTTTATATGTACTCTGGGACCTAAGTCCAGGAAATGGGGCTTATAAGGTGGATCTTCCTACCTCAATGAACTTAATCAAAAGAATCCCTCACAGGCTTGGCCAGAGGATAACCTAATCTAGATAATCCATCACAGGTATGCCCAGAGACTTGTCTTGAAGGCAATTTGAGATCCTGTCAAGTTGATAATTAATATTAACCATCACACAGAGATTTTCTGAAAAAACTTAGCTAGCTGTATATCCAAGAAACAGCTGCCAGATCTAATGTCATTAAGTTTTCTCCATGTGTGACCAAGCAAACCTTAAACAAACTTGACCCCTTGAGCCAGTATTAAAGGTCATTTCTCTCTCCATAGGCTGGATTCATGAACGATGGCAGAATCTTGGCCCTGGACCTGGAGCATTATTGTAATGCAGGTAGCACCCTGGATGAATCATTATGGGTAAGTGTCTTAAAGGAAGTTTACATTCTTCCAAGAGTATTACACAAAGTAATTTAACTCAGGAAGTATTCAACCCTTACATAGTATTTAATTATAAAAGCACAAAGACTCTCACTGCGGGAATAATACTCATTCAAAAGCACTCACTGGGAGCTACAAGTGGAGCCAGAGACCTAGGCCAAGCTTGCCTCTGCGTGTCCTCTCCATGCCCCAATTCCCAATGTGAGCACTAGACCAAGCCTCTCAGCCTTGGCCCTATGGATATTTTGGACTGTGTAAGATCTACCCTATGCATTATGGGATGTTCAGTAACATCCTTGGTCTATAGATGTCACTGGCATGCAATCCCTAAATCTTAGCAGCCCAAAACAATCTCTAGATGTTACTAAATAACCATAGATAGTAGACAAAAGGATTTCCTCTGGTTGAGGATCAGTACATTAGAACAAATACCAGAATTTCTTTTTTAATTTTTCCCTGCTTTCTGTAATATAACTCTATAGATTCAGTGCATAGGGCCACAGACCCAGGGCATTTAGAAATATTTGAAACTTGAAAAAATGCATTTTCTTAACATGTGAAAATAAAAATAATTTAAGAGCTCAAGTCATTTAAGATTGCTGGGCATGGTGGCACACACCTTTAGTCCCAGCATTGGGAGGCAAAGTCAGGTAGATCTCTGTGAGATGGAGGCCAGCCTGGTCTATGTAACAAGTTCCAGGCCAGCTGGGCCTAAGGGAGACCCTGTTTCGACAAACAAACCAGAAAACATTGCATTTAAAATCATTTTACAGCAAAATATATTTAACTGGGGCATGGCACATTTTGCATGTTTGATGGGAGCTGAAAGGGAGCTGCCGTTTCTGGCCTGGTTTTGGTCTGAGGTCTCAGCATGGTAAAACAGGTACAGAAATATGGGGTCTTCTCACATCGATTCTGGGTCTCTTCAGGTAATAGAAATGGGACTTCTGAAGATGGACAATGCTTACAAGTTTCCGAACCTGCGCTGCCGGGGCTGGGCCTGCAGAACTAATCTTCCATCCAACACGGCACTTCGTGGGTTTGGCTTTCCTCAGGCAGGGCTGGTCACCGAGGTCTGCATCACAGAGGTGGCGGTCAAGTGTGGCCTGTCCCCAGAGCAGGTAACACTACATTAGTCTCACATAGAAAAGTCTGAATGTCTGAGATGAGAGGGCCTTGAAATTCTTCAGGAGAATTTGCGATAGGGGGTGAATGATTTTCTTGCATTTCACCCAGCCGAGTAGTTAATAAAGAACCAGTACTTCAAAGTTTAGTGATCCTTTTCTTAACTGCACTCCTCAAAAATCCTAGAAACAGAATTTTTGAGGAACAAGCATTGGCTTTTAGTCTGGTCAGTGAGAAGTTTCTATTAGTTGGGGGTTGTATTACTGTTTTATATTGCTATAACAAAATGTCTGCAGCTAGATAAAAATACCAAGAAAAGAGGTTTGTTTAGTTCACAGTTCAAGATGTCTGAGAGCATGGTTCCAGCTTCTGCTTTATTCTGGTGAGGACTGTTGGCAGATGACATTGTAGGATCTTACACAAGAGGGATCACATGGCAGGGCAAAAAGCTGGAGAAAGATTTTGAGATCATACTTTCCTACTGACTCTCACCAGAACTACCCCAGCTTCCATGAGAATGACCTTAATCTCTTGAGAGAGCAGCATCACCATCCTCCTACTTGGCCTCTCCTCTCAGAGGTTTTGCCCCCTCAACACCCACACTGAGCTCGCCTCAAACATCACACTCCCTGGGAGGTAAGCCAGGTCCCAACTCCAGCAGGGACATAACTACCACCAAGGTCTGCCAGACCTCCTCCTCGTTTCCCTAACATCTCAGGCAGCCATCATAAGGTTTGTCACTTAGTTACTCAGTGGTCTCCTGTCAGTGATTTAAGTCTTAGGCCTCAATTTCATTTGTTAGCAAAGATGGTTCCCTCCCTGGTGCCTCTTACACCCCCCAGGTCCTATGGGCTGAGCTCTCTCCTGCTCTCTTTCCTTCCCTGTGCTGGGGTAGAGATGACAAACAGGAGCACCTGGGAGAAAAAAGTGACCTCTCCCCAGATGAATACTCCTAGGCGGTCTACTGGCCTCTCTTTGGCAGATTTTGCAGATCAGATAGTACCACAGGCAATGTTCCTTCTGGCAACACTTGTGCCCCAGGAGGCCCTGGGAAGCCTGAGTCCTCAGTTCATCTGCCTTCTTCCCCTTAACATCAGATTCTATGGCCATAGGGAGGAGCCATCTTCTTTATGTCTTAAACTTGCAAGACCCTTGTCCTTCCCTTCGTGACCTCCCCACCACAGTCTCTCTCCTTATGATGTTCCATAGCAGGAGGGAGGAGGATGGCACAAAGGCCTCCCTTCCTGACTAGAGTCATCTCCTAAAATGACTGTCCCTGGGGGAATGGAGAGATGGCTCAGCAGTTAAGAGTACTGGCTTCCTTGCAGAGGACCCAAGTTCAATTCCCAGCACCTAGCTGGCTGCTAAAAAAATTGTCCTGTCCGGTTTCAGGGATCTGATGTCCTCTTCTGGCCTCTGCAGGTATCCACATGGTGTACTTACAAACCTGCAGGCAAAACACTCATACACATAAAGTAAAAATACATACATATTTAAAATTTAAAAAACCTTTCCCTGGAATGGCACAACTCATTAATTTCTACTTGTCCTCTTACAAGGATCTAAGAGATTCTTAGAGGCATTGGTTGGGGACAGTGTGTGTCTACAATGGCCTCCATTAGCTTTCAGAGGCCAACTGTGAGCCTTTTCTTAACTGAGAATACAAGGTGCTGAGCATCTTTACTCTCAGCTAAGGAGTCTGAGTTGCCAATTCTGGGAAGCAGTAACAATCTACTCAGGATTTCAGACATCTGGGGATAGAATCGTTTCATTTGTGGTTACCTGCACAGGACCTGAACATAACTGAGCCTTATCAACATTTCATCATGGGTAGGGGAGGGGCTCGTGAGGCCCCACTCCTCCCTGGGGGACTAATGGCAGTTAGTGGTTGCTGGAGGTGGGGGGTGGGGGTGCCACTTTCTTCAAAGGGGTAGGCACTGCTAAGTTACCCATACTCAGAAGTTCATACACATAAAAGACATGGCAAGGAGGATTTCAATGGGAGATGACTGTGGGGATGAGAGAGGACAATAAGGTAAAGATGACTAAAATTTATTGTATGCATGCATAAAACTATCAAAGGGAAAAAAGAATGTCATTCGTTCTTCCTAGCCATAAGTTATATTTAAGCAAATATTTCTGTTTGTTTGCTTTGGAAGTAAATGGTCTTATCTTGCCATAGCATCTGAATGTCCCAGATCCCATACTCTGAACACCTTTCAACAGATGCCACAAATACAACTAGAATTGAGAGTCAGGAATGTACCTGGCCTATGTTGAGAATAGACAGAAATACAGGCAAAAGATTCAGTCCTTTAAATTCACAGGAACAGCACAGAGGTAAGTCTAACAGAGTTGATCAGGGCTCCTAGTAGAGAATGAGGATGATACCTGGAGAAGGGATTAGTGAGGTCTAGGTAAAACCTGGCTTGGACCTTTCAAGTTGAGCAGAATTGGAGTAGGACAGTGGATGGACAAGATTATGTCTTCCAGGTTTCCCCTCACTTTTAAAGCCTTTCTTTCATAGGTTCGACTGGTAAATATGTACAAGCAAATTGATCATACTCCCTACAAGCAAGAGATTAATGCCCAGACCCTCTCCGAGTGTTGGAGAGAATGTATGGCCAAGTCTTCCTACTCTGTTAGGAAAATGGCAGTGGAAAAATTCAACGCAGAGAATTCCTGGAAGAAGAGAGGGCTAGCCATGGTACCTCTGAAGTTTCCTGTGGGTCTTGGCTCAGCAGTAGCCATGGGTCAGGTCAGTTCTCCAAACACATGTAGAAATGCCACCTGGAAGAGGTCCTGTGTTCAGCAGCAAATCAAATAGAGGAGGGACTTAGGAATGAGACCAGAGGCCCTTCATGGAAGGCCTGGTCTGGTGGGTTAGATCTCTAGTTTCCTGATCTTGACCTCATCTCTTCCGTGCTTTCATCTATTTTCTGGAAGGAGATACTAAAGATGCTAGCAATTTGCTCCTTAAGGTGGTTTCCTAATTAAACAATTTAAGGGCTTGGATATCTCCAGGGATCCCCCTCTCCTTCTCCCAGGGCAGAGCAACACTTTAGGTTTCTTTATTTGCAGGAGCCCTCTACTTCAAAATGCAAATTTATGCATATATAGGTTGAAGGGGAATGAGAATATCTGTGACACACACACTACCATCATTATAGATCATCCAGCTAGTGAGTGACAGAACCAAGATTCGACTTCAACATGCCTGGCTGCAGGTCCCATGTTTTCCTTGTACCTTGTTTGCTGCCTCCCTGAGCAGAAGCAACTCTTGCCAGCTGCTTAGAGGTTCAAATGCACCTCATTTACGGATTCCTTAATTCCTAGACTGTGAACCCTGAATGACACAGATGGCATCTAGTTAACCTCTGCATTTCCAGAGCCTACCACAGCACTGTCACAGAGCAGGGATCCAAATGTTGCACGGCTGACGCAATTGGGAACTCTTGAGATAAGAACTAACTTCCCACCAAAACCAGCAGTCATCGCTTGAGGATTTAAATTTCACCAACAATTTCCGTTATTTATAATGGAGAGCCATCTGGCCCAGTTGTGCTGATTTTAAAGGGTGAAGCTTTGTGGAATTATCTTTTGTGATGTTAACAATGAGGCATATGGTGGTGCCACTTAACTGAACCAAATTTGGCATTTTAAATAGCCAGAGGAGATTGCAGCACCACGTGGAAGAAATTACTCAGCAGTCCCTGATACAAATGCCACCCCAGACCTGCAGGCAGAGTGCTGTTACCAGCAGGGCCACACAATGGAGTACACACAAAACCATTGTAATTGTAGCTCAGTCACATATGCTAAGGCCAACTGTGAATTCCACCCACACTCATCAGACCCAAAGAGGCAAAATACAGAGTCTCTAAACTTAAGAATTTGCTCTTGCAAATTCACAGATCAAACATTTTTGAGCACCTACTACTCATGAGACATCATGTCATATTTAAGAAGATGACTTAGGCCATATCCTGCCTGAGAACTGTGCAGTAGAACAGAGCCCAGAAGTGACTGCTGCATCTGGCATCACTGCCCAGGGTAGCCAGCTCTAGGCTCTCTGAAGAAGACAACACTGTATTTTGGGAAGAAATGGTAGGAACACAAGATGATGATGTTAACAGAAGCCATGTATCAGATGATAGTAAAACATCCTCTGTTGCATCTCCCCAGGGTCCTTAGGCATATCAGACTATGGTCTGATATTCTAAGACTTTTCATTTGGGCATTAATGCACATGCCTTTCCTCTCAGATACACGATGTCCCCACTTTGCCAAGACATCACTAGTTTACTCCTGTTGACCAGGCATATGGAGACCACATTCAGTCAAAAGTGTTGTATTTGGAATGATGGCGGTTTCTGCTTATCATTCACTAGGGTAATGCATACCTTTGGATGCTAATAAGAGGTAGTTCTCCATGTGTGCTGGATAGCTTTAGTGTCAACTTGACAACTTGGGTTGAAGGAGCCTCAATTGGGGAATTTCCTTCATTGGACTGGCCTATGGCCATGTCTGTGGGGAATCTTCTTGATTGTTGAGTGATGTGAGAGGGCCCAGCCCACTGTGGGTGGTGCCACCCCTGGGCAGGTGGGCCTGTGTTGCATAAAAAAGCAGGCTGAGCAGGAGCCAGGGGAGCAAGCCAGTAAGCAGCATTCCTCCATGGCCTGTGCTCCAGCTCCTGCCTCCAGGTTCCTCCTCTGATTCCTACCTTGGGCTCCCTGATGAACTGTGAGCTGGGAGATGTAAGCCAAATAAACCCTTTCCTCCCCAAGTTGGTATTGGTCAGAGTATTTTGTCATAGCAGTGAAGAAACAAACCAGAATGCCATGTATGGTCTACAGGCCACAAGTATATGTGAAGGTAGACAAAGAATTGATCTAGGAATACAGTCCTTTGGGTTTATCTGATGCTTGGCAGGGAGCATGCAATTCCTTAAGTACCACTTATGACCAGAACTGCTTACACATAACCTGATTCATAGAGGTGTGGTAAAATTTTAGGTTTATGAAGTGAAAATTAGCTTGTTCCCAGAATTTTTCTTAGCTCCTACTTTTCAAATCCCTGATTAAGTCAGGCATAATGGTACATGCCTATAATCCTGATAGTCAGAAGATGGAAGCAAGAGGATTGCTGTGAACCCAAGGTCAGTTTAGACTAGTCTATTAGCTACTTTTCTCATGGCTGTGACAAAATACCTGATAAAAGCAACTTAAGGAAGTGTTTATTTTGGCTCATAGTTCGAGGGCTCAGTACATCATAGTGGGGAAATCCTGGTGACAGGAGCACGAGACAGCTATTCACATTGCATCCACATTCAGGAAGCAGAGGGAGATGAATGATGGTAAAGCTGCTCCTTTTTTATGCTCTGGTTTCCTATCCCACAGAAAGGGCGGGTCTTCCTACCACGGCAACCCAGTCTATTAACTCTCTAACTGTCATACTCAGATTTATCTGCTAGATGATTCTAGATCCTATCAAGTTGTCAATCAATATAAACCATCAGAGGCTATACAATGAGTTAGGCACAAGAGTGGACTATACAGTGAAGCCGTATCTCACAAAACAAAGGATCCGGAGTTATTACATCATTCTGCATAGAAACTTAGATATTAAGAAACCTGGCTGACAGAGTTTTAGTGACCCCTGGCTGACTCAGACCATATCTGTAAGATTGTGCTTCCTCGAAGATAGCTGCAAGAAGTCACATGCTTGGCAATACTAAAACATGGTTTGCTTAGTCTAGCAGATTTTGATTAGAGGACTCTTTAATTCTATGAGCAATTTGGTTGCTTCTGAGTCTTTGTGAGGACCTCCACAGTGAGATAACATTACTTCCAAGTTCCCTCTCAACTCCAAAGCTCTGTGATTTTGTTCAGGCATCCTAGATCATTTTGTAGCTGAACAGTGAATACATCTCTGTTCATTTTACTTGGATTTTCATTTTTGGGTCTCTGTAACATACCTACAATTATGAGAGTGTGTTCACACAGCTATTCTCCCTCTCTCTCCAACTATGTATGTATATATAAACTTGCATTTTTTAAATGGAGGAACCCACAAATAAAGAAACTTAAAATTTTGCTTCACTGTGAGGCAGGGGATCCTTGGAGATACCCAATGCCTTTAAATGCCCTAATTAGGAAGCAGTACTTTAAGATGTACTTATTGCCACAGACACAGAGCCACCCAGAAACAGTGTGGCCTCTTGTGGTGGGGGCGATCACCAGGCAGCACTCGCCCTCCTGTTGCCTAGGCTCTGCTTGGGTTATAAATACATACATATTTTTTGGCAGGGGCTGGAGGTGGGATGGGGGTAGGGTAGAAGAGAAAATAACATTGGTAGAAAGTGTTTTAGCTGGTATGACATGTTCAAACACTAATCAAAAACGCTTCTTCTGTTTCATGTTTTCTTCCCCTGCTTAGGCAGCTGCCCTGGTTCACATTTATCTTGATGGCTCTGCACTGGTCACTCATGGTGGGATTGAGATGGGGCAAGGTGTCCACACTAAAATGATTCAGGTAAAAATGCAAATACTGGATTCTGTTAAGTATGTCCTCACAGATACGTTCATGAGGGAAGAACCGTGAATGCATTTCTGTTCCAAAATAAAGGACAGGAGGCTTTAGGTTTGACAGCTTAAGCTGTTAAACTATTAGTAGAGCCTGGGTAACAAGTCAGTTTTGTAACTGAGCCCCAGAAAAGTATGTGGCAGGGAAGTCAAATTGCTTTATTGCTAAAGAAATTTTGTCCTTGTTTTCTGCTTTTATTTCGATATATTGACACTGAATTGTCCTTCCTTGAATCTTTTCTAAGCAAAGAAAAGATGTACAAATTATGATGTGCAATGTTTCTTTTTCATATTAAGGGCTCTGAATAATCAATAATATAAGTCAGATTTGATATTTCCAGCCAAGTTTGTTAGCGATACTATTTTAGGGTCCTTATTTCCTTCCAAAATTACTAAGATGTTACCGTTGTAATTTTGTACCTTGTGCTTTTTCCAACTAATCTTATAGAGAATAACTGCTGCTTCTGTCATTACAAAATTTTTTAACAATTTCCAGACATGGTGATGCAGGCACATAATCTTCACACTTCAGAGGCTAAGACAGGAGGATCAGGTCAACTTAGCTGCATAGCAACATCCTGTCTCAATGTATATGTGTTTGTAATTAATTTAACTCTGCCCCAATTATTGAGCACTTCAACAAACATTTTTTCTACATTAATGTATAATTCTGTCAGTGATTATTTTCTTAAAATAGCTCATCAGAATTGGAATTACTGACTCATGGGGTATGAGTGTTTTTAGTTACTTGACACACATTACTAAATTGTTTTCCATAAACTGTCATATACTAATATTAAATGTGAAGAGTTGTTGAAAAACCTAGATGATTTTCAGATGAATGAAAGTACCTCAAATATTCTAATTCAGGGTTTTTTTTCCCCGATTGTATGGACTTTGAACATTTGTTTTCTTTCATACTACTAATCCGTTGAGGATTGTTCAGCTCCGCTATTCCCCACATTGGGGCTGAGATTCAGTGTCTTCCCTATTGAGCCAAAGATCTTATGTTGAGAGCCTGTGCACTCTGCATAGAGACTTTTCTGAGAGCCAAGCATTGTGCACTTTAAGTCTAAAATTATTTTCTCCGGCACTGAAAGATAGAATAAAGCAGCCTCTAAACTCCAAGTTGGCACTTGGCCCTAGCACCATGTCTTCCTCCTGTGATGTGTGTGCTACTGAGGCTGCGGTCCTTCACAAGGGACACTTTTCCTGGATCACCCCCAGAAACATCCATGGGAAATGGGCAGCTTTGATTACAGAAGTCAACTTTGCTAGAGTTTTGCCAAGCATGGTGGGAAGAGTGGGCTCAAGGGTGTTGATTTCAAGATTATAAAGACATGGATGGAATTCTAGAAAAGAGGGATTTTTGTGCCTAGAAGAATTCATGGGTTGACTCCCTTGTCCCTGTCATGCATACAAGAGCTACATACACATACTATCTGAACATGTGCATAGACCTACAACTAATCAAAGTGTTGGAAAAGAAACTGTTCAAAATTCCAGGTGGTCAGCCGTGAATTAAAGATGCCAATGCTAAATGTCCACCTGCGTGGGACAAGCACAGAAACCGTCCCTAACACAAATCCGTCCGGAGGGTCCGTGGTGGCAGATCTCAATGGGTTGGCAGTAAAGGTAAATCCCACTGCAGTGGCATCAGTTTTTAACCCTTCAAGGCCAGATCCATGGGTGGAGATCAGAATATAGGAGAGTTCCTCTCTCATCTTCTTCCTCAGTCTGAGGCTTGATCAGTGGTGTAACACCCAGCAGTTCTGTGTGCAAATGCTGCTCTCCTCTCTCACTGATTCTTGACATTTCACCAGTAAGCAAATCTTTATTCTACCCCAAAATGTCCCAGTGTCTTTCCACTTCCTTGTTCAATCAGACTCCCACCTCCCCGGACCTTTGGATATTCTCTCTATCCCAATTTTATTGCCTGTCACTGACTTTACACTACCTGAATGAACTTTCCCAGAAAATAAACGTAATCTTGTTTGAAAACAGTGGTTGAGGGTTTGTCAACAGTTTTCTGTTAAATCTTGACTTAGTGTAGCTTCTAAAGCAATCGTCTTTAAGCCTTTCCATGACTGGCACTCGTACACGCATATGCCCCTGATGAGACTTTACATATCCTCTCCTGTACTGACCTACTTCTCCCTGTCACCATGGTCCTCACAGACAATGCTACAGGATGAGATACGATGTTGTCTTAACATTGTTATTTTCATGAAATTATAATCATAATTTTAATTTAAATAACCCACAGAATGCTTGTCAAACTCTTCTAAGACGCCTTGAACCCATCATCAGCAAGAATCCTCATGGAACTTGGAAGGACTGGGTAAGAATCACTGGTTCTCCATATTTTATCATAGAAGAGGGAGAAATATGTGTGAATTAGTGTTTATGGAAAGAGCGATTCAAAGGCACCGTCATTGCATGATGATAAATAAAAGACCCCTAAGTGCTTGCCGTGTAGAGATCCTGTCAGAGTACAGCAGAAGAGAGATTGCATCTGAGAAAATTCTCCATTAGAGAAGATGAGGTTCCTGCTGAAACTCCTCTTCTAAGCTAGTATTCACTCATGTTGTATCCTATGGAACCTGGATACCTTCTGAATAACAGCTATGAGTCTGTTTGCTCTCCTTCTTTGGGTTCCACTGTTCTTAAACTAGAAAAGAAATGTTGGAATCATTCTGTAAATCTCATATAGACAATCATTTAGAAACAAGAAACCAAGTCATGAGGTACATGTTCGATGAACAATAGACACTCAATAGAATGGAAATAATCACCTGCTTCCTCTGATGCACTTGCAATCTATTTGGAAGAGAAGACACTCTCTAAAGTCAACTAACAAGCTTTTCAAAAACAGAAGGCTATTAAGTACTAGATGATGTGGAATATGCATTCGCAAAATCTTGGATTATGTGCCACAATGTATGTTCTAGATTACCAATTGCACAATCTTAAAACATAGATTCATAAATTATTTACAGAGTTCTGCTTCAAAAGATTGCAGATGCCAGGCATGGTGGCACCTGCCTTTAATCCTAGTACTTGCGAAGCAGAGGCAGGTGATCTCTGTGAGACTGAGGCTAGCCTGGTCTATATAGTAAGTTTCAGGTCATTTGGGACTACGGGAAGACTTGGTTTCAAAATAACAACAACAAAAAATTGCAGGGGTTAGGTACTTCGGTGGTAATATGTGTGTCTAGCACGCTGGTGGCTCTGTTTCAGTGACTAGACCCCCCCAAAAAGTTCCTATTCTTTCATAAAGGCTCATTCTGTACATAGTATTTATGGAATATGAATTTCCTCAACCTGTTGTGGGCATCTTTGCCTGTGCCTCTGCCTAGTGCTGCCTGAGCCCAGAAAGGTCAAAAGTGACTACTGAAGAAAGTTGCATCTAGATGTTGTTTAGGAGCATTCTTCCCTACCACCCACTGAAAGATGCTGCCACTCAGCATCTGAAATGGCTACGCTTTCACCACCTCTCTTAGACTTGAAGATTTGGACTTTACCTTCATTTTTCTGTTTAGTAGTTAACCATGTGTGCTTGTTTAATCAGGAGGCCATTTACTGTAAATGGTACAATTTAGCAAAATTACTCACTTTAACTAAAACTGTTATAGATACATGACATTAACATTGAACATTCAACCAGCCATTGTTCCCCAAAATTGGCCGTGTTAGTAGACTGATACTTTCCAGATGAGTGAATTTCTTCATAAAAAGCATGTAGGTGACCATTGTAGTGTAACATACCATGGCAGTCATTGATCACAGCTATATTCATTGAGCAGACACTGCTGCTCGACACAGTGAGGCACATATGCTTATGTAGATGGAGAATGCTGAAAGAAATGGGTTCATCTGGGGCCTTCCTCTTCATTGCTTTGCTTAACACATACTGCAGTTAAGACTGGAATCACGAGGAATCCCATCTCTACACAGCCTTATTGCAGCATGCTGTGCTCTCCCTTCACAGGCACAGACTGCTTTTGACCAAAGAATCAGTCTTTCAGCTGTTGGATTCTTCAGGTAAAATTGCCCCTTCAATCCCATGTTATAGAAAATATCAATAATAGCTTGAGGAAGTTCAGTTGTTTGCAATTTTGGTAAAAAATGGCATACTACCTTTAGTTAACCTGCTGATCTAAGCATTTATATGGTAGTTAATCCAGGTGTCCAGAAAGATATTTCGGGGAAAAATAGGTACATAACTAAACTTTTATTGTGTGATAATTCAGAGTGATAAGCTTAGCGCCCTGGGAATTAGCACTTGGAATCCACAGCAGTTGTTGACTTTTTGCTAAATACATAATCTGTCCCTAAAGTTAAGAAACAAATGGTAGGGCATACAAATTAAGCCAAAAATAAGGTGCCCCTCCTAAACATGTAAAAAGAGGACAGTAATGGTGGTGTTGAGGTATGGAGCCAGATGGACCTGCATACTTGGGAAACAATGTTTAAAATTATTTAGTGGAGAGTGAATGCCATGTGAGAGCTGGGCGTTCCTTTATTTTGTCGCTTTGCCTGGTGTCATAGAAGTCCTGGGACTCTAACTGGCAATCGGGAATAGGCACTGGAACATTTTAATGGCCACCACCAGGCTGAGGGAAGCAGAACAGACAGAGTAGAGAAGACTTAACAAGTTGCTGGCATGGACTTCTCTTTACCACTGATGTTTACCTGGAGTCCTTAAAGAAAGAAGAGTGGGGAACATAATAAGCACATAGTCTGATGGTAATGCCAGAAAATGAGAGCCAACAGGCTGGATCCCTCATCCAGAATGTTGACTGTTGGGCCCAGAGAGAGAGAAAAAGCAAGCAAACATGCCCCTTTGAAATAGTGTTTGGCTTAAAATGCAGGTTGAAGTCCCAAAGTCTGATAACAGAATTACATGATCCAATATTGGCTAAAGGCAGAAGGATAAATAATCATAAAGCCAGAAGCTAACTTCCAGAAGTAAAAATTCACTGGTCATGAATAATTGGCTGTTTTATCAGACAGTGAAGATTGAATAAGAAAAAAAGCAAATATTTATTTATTTGACACATTTACTGAGCACGCATTATGTGCTGGTGGGTCACTGTACAAGTGTGTGCTTCTGGTTTGCACAGCTCCCTTTGGGACTGTTTGATCATCATGGTCTGTGATGATAGGACTTGATCAGTTAGCATGCTCCTCAAGAATTTTGTTTCTTTCAGGGGTTACGAGTCAGACATGGACTGGGAGAAAGGCGAAGGCCATGCCTTCGAATACTTTGTATATGGAGCTGCCTGTTCAGAGGTTGAAATAGACTGCCTGACAGGGGACCACAAGGTCAGTCCCACCTGGGAATGTCTTCCAGCTGTACTTATGAGACACTTAAACTCCACACATGCTGTCTGTTGGAGGAAAATTGGGTATCTGGTGGCAGCACCACGTATTTGCCCTAAGAGTAATTTCTCTGTGTTACTAGAAGAAATCAGAAACTTGGCAATTGCCTTAGGAGTATAATTTCTTCCCTGAAAAACAATTAGTCTCCGTTCTTCTTGTTTTCTTTTTTCACTATCAACTGAAAACAAAAAAGAAGCTACTTCAAAAAAGAAAGGTAGCCTGAAGAGGACTTCTATGCAGACAATTCTCATAGTGTCTTCATGAGACATGTCCTCGTGTGATATTCTTGAATGGTTCCATAGGCATCCATAACCTGCTGACAGCACCAGGGCCAACTCCAGAGAGGCAGTGACCAGCCACTCTTCTTTTTAGATGGTAGAAGCATAATCTTGTGGTTTTTAAAACATTTCAATTATTATTGTTTTATTTTTGTGTGTGAGTGTATTGCCTGCATGTATGTAAGTGCACCCATGTCATGCAATGTCCACAGAGGTCAGAAGAAGGTGTTGGATTCCCCTGGAACTGGAGTTACAGATGGTTGTTAGCTGCCATGTGGGTACTGGGAATCAAACCCAGGTCCTCTGCAAGAGCAGCCAGTGCTCTTAACTGCTGAACCATCTTTCCAACTCCATAATCTTTGTGTTTTAAAGGAATGTTATAAAGCAGTGCATACATAGATTCACACACATACACATTCACATACCAGCTTTGAGGACTCAGCTTCTCTTCTTGTACCTGGCCTTTAATAGTAAAAAAAACAAACAAACAAAAAAAAAACAAACACCGCTTAGTGGTCATTGCCAATAATAGTAAATAATCATTAATACGTTGAGACTATGATAGCCCTCACAAATGCCATGTGACTAAGGCTACTCATTTAGTGAAACTCTGTTCCCAAACCTACCCAGAAACAAACTCTAGCTTTTGATATCTTCAAATATCTTTTATGTCTACATTCTTAGATAGTGATCAGATACAACTTTTCATTTAATACTCCCTAACATGTTTTTTAAGTATAGTCATGCTCATCTTTGAAACTGATATATACTTTTATTGAACCTACAAGTATTTGGCTTGTCTGGATTCTAACTCAGACTGTATCTCTTTTTGAGAACTTTGGACTGGGGCTAAAAACTAATAACGCCAAGCATAACTCCGGTGACAGTGACTGTCCTTGGAGTTCCCTCACACTAATTTTTGAATCCCTTTTCCCTCAAAGAAAAAATTGTTGAAAACATAACTGTTTAGATTTTCTTATATATTATTTTTGTCATGTCCTTAATATCTAACAATAAAATAATAACCTGGTATTGGTGCAGGGATTTTGAGTGTGATAGGACCTTTCTCACCAATCATTTGTGCTTGATGCAAGGACCCACAGTGCTGGGCACTCACAGTCACCAAAGATAGATCTAGGACAATGCCTCTGAGTGTCTCCCTAGCTATTGGTCACATACCTCATTTCTTTGCATAGACCTACCTATCTGTCCATTACATCTGTGTCCTGAGGGCAGTAACAGCTGACTTCTCATGGAAAAGAAAATGAAAATGTAAACAAATGAAAGGACACCAGAGACGAAGCCACAGTCCTTTATAATGTCACCACAGAGTGATGTGCTATCGCCATATCCTATTGGTCACAAAAACTGACTTTGGTAGAGTTGAGAGAGAAGGAAATACAAAGACTATGAATACCAGATGGTGGGGTTTGTTAAGCATCTCCTTCCTATTAGAATATAGTGCCAAAGACCAGAAGTCCACATCTTTGACAGCAGAATCTTCACTAACATTAGACTTTGGAACACCTCGCTTCGTTTCCCACTGAGGCCATTTGTCTCCTGGCAGAACAGTCTTGCTAACTAATATCAAAGAGAATTTTTCATTTCATGTGTCTTTCAGTAAAAAAAAGTTGATACCTGAAGCTTTATTATGGTCAGACATTCTGGATCATTAATTTTCTTAAGAAAATTATTAGTTGAAAGTCCCAAACCAAATAAGAAAACTTGTGAGGTTTCTTCGTTCCCTAATGATTATCAGTAGACTCTGTTTAACATCACTCACATCTAAGAAAGTACAGACTTCTTAAAGAACAAGGGTGTTACTAGCACACTGATGATGCCTACTCTTCTCTGAACTTTCAAGATATTATAAAGCAAGTTATAATGGCAGATTTATTCTCTTCCTCACTCCAGAAATGAAAAGTCTAATAAAACAGTATCAGTTCACTTTTTTTCGCTGACACATCCTGAATTCCATGTTTCAGTAAATGTTACTGGTCGTCAACATTTACTTTTGCTGTATTACTATGTTTGTTGTGGTGGATTCTATTGTTTGCACCTCTCAGCTTGAATTCAATCAAAATCAAATAAATATTTTATTCTATTCTTTCCGAGAAAAACATAATGCTTAATCTGGTTAAAAATATTTGTGTGTGGGATGGATGCATGACTCAGCTGTTGAGAGCACTGTTGCTCTTGCAGATGACCCTAGTTCAGTTTCCAGCAATCTGAAACCTTCTTCTGACCTCCAAGGACACCAGGCACATACACAGTGTACATATATACATGCAGACAAACATTCATACACATAAAATAAAAGTAAATGAATCATTGAAAAAAAAAAGAATACAAAATAGGGGCTGGGGGTGGAGTTCAACTAGAAGAGTGCTTGCCTAACATGCATGAGGCCTTGGGTTCGGTCGCCCGCATAGCAAACACTGATCACGGGGGTGCCTGCATGCAGTAAAATAAAAGTAAATGAATCATTGAAAAAAAAAAAGAATACAAAATAGGGGCTGGGGGTGGAGTTCAACTAGAAGAGTGCTTGCCTAACATGCATGAGGCCTTGGGTTCGGTCGCCAGCACTGCATAACCAATAATCCCAGAACTAGAGAGGTAGAGGCAGGAGAATCATAAATTCAAGATCATTGTTGGCTACATATCAAGTTTAAGGCCAACCTGGGCTACATGAGTCTCTATCTCCAAAAGAAAGAAAGGAAGGAAGAAGGAAGGGAGGGAGGGAGGGAGGGAGGGAGGAAAGAAAAGAAGAAAGAAAGAAAGAAAGAAAGAAAGAAAGAAAGAAAGAAAGAAAGAAAACCCAAATTTTAGACAATGAACTTTTTACATAATAAAATCATGGTTGCCTTTTTTCACCTGAAATAGCATGGTCCAAAGAAAAACTTTATTCCAATATATGGAGTAAGTATTTCTCAGGTTCTTCTAAGTTATCTGCATTAAAACTGTTTTAAATTTGTTTTTATTACTAGAACATCAGAACAGACATCGTGATGGATGTTGGCCACAGCATAAATCCAGCCCTTGACATAGGCCAGGTATGTGTAACTAATTTGCCTTATTTCCTGTTGTAGGGTCACAAACTGCTATGAGGTCAGAAGGGAAACATTCCATCTACTTTCTGATCATCTTTTTCCTGTACCCTTTTGGTCAAAATCATTTTATTTAGACCAGCTGTAGAACTCGGTTTCTTAATGTTTAAAAAGGCGGTTGGTGGCGGTGGGGGAACCAGTAGTTTTCAAAGACGCATACAATCTGATTAGAGCTTGAGCAAAACAAGGCCAAGCCTAGAAGTGACCTGTGGGCCCCAAGCTGGAGATATAGGAGGAGTCAACACTGAGAGCCAAGCCTTGGGTATACAGTGCGTTCTCTTTTAATGCTAAGTTTGGTAATTGACCCATCAGGAGTCTTACTTTTCCTACCTCTCCACCTCTGGGTGATTTACCTCCCGACCTTCCAGTGAGAGCATGCTGTAGCATCTCTCCATCGGTGACATTACACCATCGGGAATTGGGAAAATTGTATGGAGTGGAGAAGTCAAAGGTAGATTCAGGGGGTGTAGAGATGACTCAGTGGGTAGGTAAAGTGCTTGCCTCAGCTTGAGAACCTGAATTCAGATGCTCAGCACCCGTGTAAAAGCAGGGCACAGTAGCACTTACATGTAATTTCTTTCCCTGGGCAGGGCAGACAAGCAGATCCCTAGAACTTGCTGGCCAGCTAATCTAGTGGAATCAGTGAGCTCCAAATTCAGTGAGAGAACTTGTCTCAAAAAAGTTAAATAAAATGGAGAGTGATACAGGAAGACATTCGACATCAGCCTCTGGCCCCCACATACATACACATGCAAACACACAAACATGTACATACATACACCACATACCCTTGCATTAGCATGTGAACACACACAGACACACACACACACACACAGACACACACACACACACACACACACACAGAGCAGATTCAAGGAGGAAGTTTTATGGGCCAGGCAGTCAATGAAAAATGACCAGAGATGTTCAGGTAGAGTAAGGAAATGCACCTAAAGAAAGACATTTGGTGCGCACACTATATTCAGCTGTCATGAGGCTGGGCCGGAAGCCCTGCTGCCTGTATTAGCAGATTCAGCCATGAGTCTATGGGTAGAGAAGGGAAGAGGGTCTGGCTGAAGGGGACTTGTCAAAGGCAGACCCTTAGCTTAGTGGGTAGAGGTGACATGACCTAGGAGGTGGCTTGGAATTTGAGGATGGTTCATCTAGCATTGTGATCCATTCCTAGTACTTTTGGTCAAGGAACTTGGGCAATTTCAAAACTACAAAGAAAGCTTAGAGAGCACATAGGTTAAGCCCTTCATGTTACAGGGGAGCAAATGACTCCGAAGATGCAAAGCCAGCCAGCTTATGAGCTTGTGTGGAGGTGAGATGGGGGATTCTCCAGCCCCGAGAACCTTCCTCTAACCTGCTGGGTCTGTGGGAAGTCAGTACGTGAGGGGTTTCGTCTACTTTGTTGGTAGAGAAAACGAGGCTGTGTGAACAGGCCCTGTGAAGACTTCTAAGTTACTATTTCAATGGCTAAACTAAGATTAAAACCCAAGTCCTTTGACTTTGAATTGAGCACTGATTGGGATGTAGATAAATGCTTTTAGGTAGACTTTCAGTGACATGCTCTAAGATAGCCTGGAAACCCCCTTAAACTGAAATTTTAAAATTCAGGCAAACAGTACGTGGCTGAAATGCTGCATATGGGCTGTACTGTCTCATGTGTAGTAAGTAACTCCTTCTTTTCCCTCAGATTGAAGGAGCGTTTATTCAAGGAATGGGGCTTTATACAATAGAGGAACTGAGTTACTCTCCTCAAGGTGTTTTGTATACACGTGGTCCGAGCCAGTATAAAATTCCTGCCATCTGTGACATCCCCATTGAGCTGCACATTTCTTTTTTGCCCCCATCTGAAAACTCAAACACCCTGTATTCGTCTAAGGTAAGCTATGCTCTGTGAATACATCCATATTTATTTGATACCATAATTGGAGATACAGTCATCTCTTGACTGTTTGATGTTCTTACTGGGGTTACAGAAGAAAAATCCTTATTATACATTCTAATTATAAAGTAATGTAGCAGCATGGGAAAATGCTTTATTCCACATCTTAGAGCCCAACATGAACATGAACTATCAGATTCACTTGTTTTTCATCTTGCACTAATCCTCTTCATTTGGACGATTGTGTACGCTTCATTTAGAATCATTACCTTAGGCTAAAATTCTAAGAAAAAGAACGTTGGAGCAGAAAGTTACATTGCTTTTTAAATAAAAAATTACTTATAGTAGTATATTGGTTATGTGTTTATATAATTAATATATACTGTGTGTATGTATATATGCATGTATATTCAATGTGTGTGTGTCATAATCTACATGGTTCATTTCCCTCAAGGGTCTGGGAGAGTCTGGGGTGTTCCTGGGGTGTTCAGTGTTTTTTGCCATCCGTGATGCATTGAGTGCAGTGCGACAGGAGAGAGGCACCTCTGGGCCACTGAAGTGCAGTAGTCCACTGACTCCAGAGAGGATCAGAATGGCCTGTGAGGACAAGTTCACAAAGATGGTATGTTGTACCCAACAGGAAAAAAACCATAAAATTCTGGACTTTTGACCCCTATCATAGTCAAGTTTCTCTAACCCACCTCTGTGGTTTTCCATGGAGGGAAAGATGACTGGAATTCCTGACAGCAGGTGAACAAGAGAAGGGCAGGACGGGCCCTGACTTGTACTCCTTATGCTGTCCCTTTGTCACCCTGGCCTTACTTGGATCACTGTGGGCTCAGTTCCATACCACTTGAAAAAAGAAGGTCCATTCCTCTTAGCTTTATGTTTTTCCCTTGTTTTGCCCCCTTTCAAGGACATCTGAGTCAGAGATAGGAGTTGAGAACTGTGCTCTGACTTAAGGCACACAGCCAAGAATCAAGGCCACTCTAACAGCCTCTCTCCACTCTGGCCCCAATCCCAATGCGATCACAAGGATCCTTCCCACAGTTGCATCTCCGCTGGGCACATACTTCGGTTCTTCATGGAATACCAAGTGGCAAGATTTTTAATTGTAAAGGAATTCATGCTATTTTCAGTTATCTGACTATAAGAAAATGTTCCTTCTGTCATGGAGAAAGTTCCTCCTAAATTCTTTATGCCAGCTCTGGGGAATATCCTGGATGGTTCTCCTAGGGCCCCATATGGGAGAGACAGACACTGACTCTGTGTTCCATCTCCCTTGTTAAACCCTCTCCAGGACCCCTCCATATTTCATGTCCTGTTATTCTCTGACCTCTGGATGGCCTAGCTGCCCTACAGTGGTTTTCACCATTTTATGTTCTGCTATTTTTAACCTAAATTACAAACATGTTTTCAAGTTACAAACACCCTAATTGGTTCTTTCATTCTAGATTCCAAGAGATGGACCTGGGTCCTATGTTCCCTGGAATATACGTGTCTGAGCCAAATGCAGACTTCTGGAGGAAACGGGGCATCTCTTTCTGTGGAGAGATCTACCCATTTCTGCTCTTAGATGCTAGATATGAAAACCAAATTTTCACGGCTCAGGAATCATTCCACGTGGTGTTGCTTTTACATGGAGCTGATTTGGAATATTCTACTCAGGATTTGCTAGATACACTCAAGCAACTATAATGATACTTTAAATGATATAAATATTAAGTTTTTCCTCTGAGGTGATCTCTCTCATCATTCTGTCCCTGGATCTATCTAGCTAAATGGAATATATGCTGACTTGTTTGTGATTCCCTTCTGGCCCGTGGCTACTAGCAGAAGTTACACTGCCTGGTGAAAAATAAATTCCTAAATAATTCCATCCGCAGTACGAACTGTGAATTCATTTTTTTTTCATTTGTCCCTGTGTGCCATCACCCTACTTTTCTTATCAGAGCAGATTCAGACCCTGTATCTAAAGAGTCTCTGGGACCACAGGGAGGAGAAACATAAATGGAGTTCATCAAAACTACAAAGGCGGCCCCAGCATTCCTACCACTCAAGAGGCTGAGGTAAGAGGTACAGGAGTCCAAGACCAGCTTGTGCTACATAGCAAGACTCCAACTCCCCAAAACAAGGACTGCAGATATAGTCTAGTCAGTGGTAGCATGCCCACGGCCCTTGGTTCATCCCCAGCACTGAAAAAATAAAGATAAAAAACAGGAGAAATCCACAGAATAGAAGAAAATATTGCAGCTATATAATGAAAGTCTTGTGTCCAGAACACTTACAACTCATAGGGAAAAGAAAGTACTCCTTAGTTTTTTAAATGGACAAAGAAAGTGAATAGACATAGCTCCAAAGAAGGCATTTAAATGGCCAATAAGTAAATGAAAAGATGTTCAGACTCATTCGTCATTAAGGAAATGCAGGTTAAAACTGTAGTGAGATACCATTCACATTATACTATGATGACTATAATCAAAATGATTGAGAGTCATGGCAGTTAGAAGGATTCAGGGAACTGGAGCCCTAATCCATTGATGAAAGAATGTAAATGCTGTGTCCACATGGAAAACAGTTTGGAGGTCCTCAAAAAGTTAAACAGAGGGGCTGGAGAAATGGCTCAGCAGTTAAGAGCACTGACTGCTCTTGCAGAGGACCCGGGTTTGATTCCCAGCACATATGGCAGCTAACAACCACCCATAACTCCAGTTCCTGGTGACCTGATGCCCTCTTCTGACCTCTTTGGGCATTGCATGACACGGGTGCACTGATACACATGCAGGCAACATACCCATACATATAAAATAGAAAAATAAGTAAAAATATTTCTAAAACATTTTTTAAAAAGTTGAAGAGAATTTCCACATGATTAAGAGATATAAAATGCACTCACAGAAAAAATTACTCACAAATGATCATAGTGTTATTCACAATACCAAAAATGCAAAAGTTTCATCAACTGATAACATTTAATAAATAAAATTAAGTATATCCATAAAAGTGAATTTTATTCAGCTCCTCCAAATGAATAAAGCATGACACATTCTACAGCATACCTGAATGCTGAAAATATTATCTAAATGAAAGAAAGTGGGCACAAAAGGCCACATACAATCATGATTCCATCTGCACAAAATGTCTAAATTCATAAAGATGTAGATTAGTGGTTGCCAGGGGAATGGAAGGTGATAGCTAGTGGATATGAGATTTCCAGTGGTGGTTACTGTACATGTGAATATACAAAACACAATGAGTCATGTACCTTAAAAGACAAATGTATAGTAGGTATGTAGATTATATCTCCAATATTTCACAAAGCAACTGTCGAAAGAAACAGGAAGGCTGAAGAAGGTTGGGGACTGACTGGCAGTCATGAGGAAACAGACCATTATAAGGACTTGGCCTTTTCATGAGGGAATGCAAAGCACAGTACATGAACGTGCTTCAATGTGGTTTGTTTTATTTTGTTTGTCCTTTTGAGACAGGGTCTCTCTGTAGCCCCAGCTGGCCTGGAACTCGCTATGTAGACCAGGCTAGCCTTGAACTCACAGAGCTCCGCCTGCCTCTGCCTCCTGAGTGCTGGGACTAAGGCAAGCATCACCACGCCCAGCTTCAACGTGTTTTAAAGGGTTGCACTAGAGCTGTGTTGACAGATGGTGAGAGGGCAAGGGTATAAACGCAGGGTGAGTCCTCTGCTTTCTCTCCATCTCCTTAGCAGCTGCCTCTTTGGGGACTCTGACAGCATCTCCCTCTCCAGTCCATCCCTACAAATGTTGGGATTCCAGAGGGGTGCACTGGTCCTTGTTTCTCATCTTCTCACACCTTGTCTCTGGCAGGTGACCTTTATTCCTGTGGTTGGAGAAAATTGTCTTGCTCAAGCTCTGAATCTGAAAATCCAATTCTCCCTTTTTTGGTGGTAGAGAAGATTCAAAGTCCTTTTTTTGCTGGCTAGCCTGGAACTCACTATGTAAACTAGATTGACCTCAAACACATGGTGATCCTCCCACCTTTACCCTCTAAGTGCTGGAATTACAAGCCACTTGCTCCAACTCTTGCTTTTGATTGTGACTTGGATGTCTCAGACTCCAGTCCTCATGTGTCCCAAGAAGATCTCCTGATCAGTATAGTTATCTATGGGTTTCTTGACCAGAAACAGGAAATGATCCAGCTCTTCTGCTCAATTTGTGGGCATATCTATGCAGGCATAACAGCCTGTCAATCCCACCTCAGAGACAGTTCTTAAATACCCTCTCACTGTATCCCTGGCTACCTCTACCCCGTCACCTTCATTTCCCCATGACTATTATAATAGTCTCTTCTTGATTTTCCTGTGTTCATTTTGCTTCCCTTCCAAATCACTCTCCACATTAAAGCTGAACTTATGAATACACACATGTGTATGTATGCACACACACAGGCACACACACATATATATTATACCCTTGCCTAACATCCTTCAATAGCTCCCAAACACCTAAATACTCTATATGTGCCCTATATTTACCATACATGTGCCCTCTATGTACCCTATATGAGTTAGCCCCTGCCAAGCTCTCCAACCTTGTCTCAGGGGTCCCTCTTCTGTCACATGACTGCCTCGCTATGTCCCTCACTTTGGAGGCCTTGTTTCTGTCCTCTGTCTGGAAAGGATACTCACGTCCACACTTCCTTATGTCTCACTGCCATTCTGCAGTGCTTCTCTCTAGTTCATACAAAAAAGTAACTTGAGAAACTTATTAAGATTGAAGCCATAAGGCATGTGAGCCCAGAGCCAATGAGGCAAAGTGGAGGGGGAAGCTACAGAGCTAAGCGCAAACAGAAATGGAAGGAACAAGCAAGTACATGCACAAGCACCAGATCCCAGTTATACACAATGTTTTCGGCACTTTCCCTCAGTTCACACTTACAGCTGTGGAACAGGGTGGAACATCCCTGGTGACCGGCGGATGGAAAGGGGGAAAAATGAGCTTGGTTCACAAGTGGGTTGGCACCAGATGTGAGTAGAGGCAGGATGGCATGTGTGTACTATAGTCTCTAGCAGATGGTGAGGGACACATTTTCCCAACAGGCAGAGGTTTAGATAGTGCACGTGGTTATCCATTTTATCTGGAAAATAGAAGTGTCTCAAGGTTAGAATAATCATGGAGTAACAAATGGTTTTGGGCATAGGAGGAGAAAGATTGGGGAACTACAGACAAGAACTACATAACTCGGTGTTTGAGAGTGGGCCTGATATGAGAATTTTCATATCATCCAGCAGAAAGCTTCCATGATGAAAGATTTACCAAACCACCAACTAGTCAAAATGACATGGCCATTGGACAGCCTTTCTCCTCCTTAGTTGTCCTTGTGCTAGCACAAGGCATGAGAAGTTAGTGATAAACACTGTTCATGGGCAACAGCATGAGCTCCCACTTGCCATGGAACTTTCAATGCTGCCCAAAACAGAACCCAAACTAGTCCTCAGCCTGCCAGCACCCCCCAGGACACCAGGTGGCTACCTGGGGTCTGGTTGACTACATTAACTCTTCCCTCCCTGGGAGGAATACTCCTTCACTCTAATAGAAGTGTTTTGGGTAAAAGTTTGCCTTCCCTGGCTGCAACCATGAGACTTACCACCACTCTTTTAAGTACTCACATTTACACTCACCATCTTAAGATCCCATGAACCATCATACCAGAACAAGAAACAGCAAAGTGGGAGTGAGCACAGGCCTGTGGAGTCCTGTTCCGTGTTACTCAGTACTGCTCTGGTCTGAGTACCAGAATATCCTAGCAAAGGTACAGCTGGAACGCCAGATAGGAAGTTCCACCAGCCAGGATGCAGGTGTGTGAGGGGAGGAACTCTGCAGTGTTCAGCCTCTGTGACAGTTCACAGGCCGGCAGAAAAGAATTGGGCATTAGGTTAGGTTAATATCCACTGTATGTTTGCAACTTCTTCAAAGAAGAAAGCAAAAAGCCTAATAGAAAGCAATCAAAGGACACAAGAAGAAAGATGGATAGCCTCACCGAAGAGAAATGCCAGCTGACCACGAACTGCCACCAGATGTTGAAGTGTTCAGCCTCTGTGACAGTTCACAGGCCGGCAGAAAAGAATTGGGCATTAGGTTAGGTTAATATCCACTGTATGTTTGCAACTTCTTCAAAGAAGAAAGCAAAAAGCCTAATAGAAAGCAATCAAAGGACACAAGAAGAAAGATGGATAGCCTCACCGAAGAGAAATGCCAGCTGACCACGAACTGAAAAGGGACAGCATGGAGAACACTGTTGGTGAAGACTGGGAGAGGAACACCCCTCATACATGTACTGGGCATGTGTTTTAGAAGGCAGCTGGATCCAGCAATGTACTTACTCCCAAGCCAGGAACTCCAGCTCTAAGAATTTGTCCAACAAAAACTCTTAATACCCTTCTGCCCCCAGTGCTCACCTTTCCTCTCTCAGGTGATGCATCCTGCTATCCTCCCCCAAACCCTTCCTTAAAGCCTCTTTTTCTCCTGTTGTGGTCCATTTTCTACTTCCATGACCTATACCCACACTTACTCCCACATAACTACATATACATAAAAATTAGAAGAAAGAGAACATGAGAGAGAACAGGCGATATACATGGAGGGAGGAGAATAGGGAGAGGAAGCCTGTGTGCAAATGCTGTAGGCAACCTGTTACTTTGTGTCCTAATTAAAAAGTAAAATAACCAAAAATAAAAACCAGGAACAAACACTTTCTCTGAACAAAAGGAGAGAAAGAAGCAAAGGAGGAAAGCTCCACTGTGCAAAAATAAAGCCCAAGGATTTCCACTGCAGCATATTTGTAAAAGATTTATTTTGTTTTTAATTGTGTGTGTGTCTGTGTGTGTGTCTGTGTGTGTCTGCGTCTGTGTGTGAGTGTCTGCATGTGTGTGGTGCTGTGGTGCTGGTGCCCACAGGGGCCAGAGGCATAGGATCTCTCTGGGGTTGGAGAGCAGCATGGGTACTGGGAATCAAACTTGGGTCCTCTGCAAGAACAGCAAATGCTCTCAATCGCTAAGTCATTTCTCCAGCCCTGAAACCTTTATAATGGCAGAAAATTGGAAACAATTCACAATATAAATAAGCAGACAACTGTCCAATATGCTATGGAAATAACGTTTGCTGTGCAGGTGCTGCTCTGAGCACTTTACCAGCATTAACTTGGTTCATTCTCACAACAACCCTGAGGGAGATACTTTTATTTTACCCATTTCACAGGAAAAACCATTGAGGCACAGAGAGGTGTAATAATTTGAGAAAAAATTGAAACCATACCAACAGTTTGATTTCACATTTTTACAAACCAACAATTAAAAAAAACTAACAAAAATAATGCATGTATGTATATATAGTCTTACATGCACAAGAAATGGTGGAAGGGACTGAAGAGATGGCTCAGCAGTTAAGAGCAACTTACTTTTCTTCCAGAGGACCTGGCTTTGGTTCTCAGCACCCACATAGCAGCAACCAACCATTTGTAACTCCAGTTCCAGGGGATCCAGAACCCTCTTCTGGCCTCTATAGGTACTGCACTCACATGGTGCACCTACATATATGCAGGCAAAACACTCATACACATAAAGAACATATAAATAACATTTTTTTGGTAAATTTTTTACTGAATTTTTAAGTATTTCATACGGAACATCTTAATCATCTTTATGCCCCCTTCCCCATTGGCACCTCCCATAGTCCGCCCCCACTGGAGTTCATACGTTCTGTCATTTGTGTTAAGGTCTATTGTGTCAAGTTAGTGTACCCAGACATTCTTCAGTGCAAGTTAAAGAGAAAATTGTCAGTACAAAAGAATCTGGCAATGGCTAATTGAATGTTGGCACAGAGAAATTTTACTTTTGTGCTTTATGCACTTATATCATTTTTTAAAAGCATTCTTTTTTTCATAATTTAAAGGTAAAAGTAACAAACAAATGCACTTAACACTAAAACGCTGATCTGAAGGCAGTATGCTCACATGATACAGTTCCACTTCACTGACTAGAGTAGTTCTCATTGCTGTAAATCCCTCCAGAAGCTTGCCCCTGGGGCAGGGAGAAGTGTGTACTGAGCATGTGCTGAACCAAGAAAGTGGTTTAAGGAAAGGAAAGGTGGTGAAAAATGTTGGCAGCTGTGGAGGGGTAGGGCTGGGTAGGCGGAGTCCACCGACAAAGCAGGACCAAATCACATCCCCTACCCTCCATCTTCCTGGGCTCCACTGCTGCCTGGCAGATAGACTTGGAAACAGGTGTTTTTGATACTTCACAAAACACTGCTGGCTCTCCTCAGATAATGCCTCAGTCTAAGGAGTCAGATGAACTTATTTTCTTTGTGAATGGAAGAAAAGTAAGTTTTCTACACTGTCATTCCTAAATTCACACAAGAAACTGGTGGAAGCAATCTTTCTATCATTTTTGCCAAAGAGATAGGTATTGGGCTCAGGGAAGGGATGTGTGACAGACTGCTTTGCAAGATGGCTATGACAAGCACAGTGGTCTGTATCTGTAGTTTGGAAGAAAACAAAGGAGAGCGAGAGTGAAAAGGGGAGGGAGGAAAAGAGAGGTAGAAAAAGAGAATATCTGTAATGCGTGTGAAAGGCATTACTGAGGAAAATTGCCTGATTTTATGTCTCCAGACCAAGCTTTATCATTGCATTTGAATTCATCCAAGTGTCAGGCACTGACTTATCTTCATTAGGACCTGCTATCTTGTTCCTCTCCACCTCCCTTTCTGGCTTGGAGTCAAACTTCTGTGCCACCCCACCACGGCTGTCACATGTAATGGACACACAAATCAAGAGTCCAAAGCCTTCAGATTATTTTCAAATAATTATAAAACCTCCGACCAGCAAGAATGGACAAAAAAATGTGATCAAAAGCCAGAAGTGAACCATATAGTTGGTTTACATTTCAACACTTTGCTCTTTAAGAAGGGATTCCTAGCCTGGGCAGGATGGTACATTTCTGTAATCCCAGAACCTGGGAGACAGAAACAGGACACAGTTTGAGGCCAACCTGGTCTTCAAAGCAAGTTCCAGGACAACAAGGGCTGAGTAAAGACCCTGTCTCAAAAATAAGTAAATAAACATACAAATAAACAATGGGGGATCTTAACTCAGGAGAATAAACTGAATCATTTTCTCCTCATTGTTTTGAGATCTTGAGATTTAGCAAAGACATAACTAATGGCTGCAATATGTTCTTTGCTTTCCAATGTCCTTGACAGTCTGTGTTATGTGAAACCTTATAGCCCGGTGTTTAGCAGTGTTGTCAGAGAGGAAGGGATAGTCAAAGTTTAAGCCGAGCTTACATAGTGTGTGCTGTGTGAAGGCTCGGGGTGGTTGTGCAATGTGCCCAAGATCACTTGGCTAACAAATGTTGGGGAGACCTTGGTTTTTATGTGTCTACTCCTTTCCTTTGCTCTGTGATCCCTCTCCCAGGGAGATGGCCTTTTTCCAGATCCCTTATGCTAAAGGGAAGGACTGGTGCTTTGCTTGAGTGTTTTTCTGTGACTGCTGAAGAAATGCTATGTCTACCGCTGCCAAGGTCTTGTTTACTTAACTTCTGAAAGTTGAGTGGAGAACACAGACAGCATGCTTTGTAGGTGGCAATGAGAACGGAAACCTCCAGCTTAATCCCCAGTCCTTTTATTAAGATATAGAAATGCAAGCATTTTTAAATTGTATAATTTTTAAAAACTTTTTGTGATTTTCCTGAACCCATGTTGTGTTAGAATGTGAAGTCTTATGGCTTGTCCTCTGAAACAAAGCCAAGCAGTGTCCTGCCAAAGTAAAACCAAGTACAATGAAGCATTACATGATTTTATAATTGCAAAGAGTGATGCTTGATCAAGTCAGTGATGCTTGGACAAGATCAACAAATATATTCTAAATGATTCTTACTATTTAGAAATAATAATGGGCCACATGAAACTGCCTCAATTTGTATAATCATTTCCTCTGTGCAGATCATTGAGAAGAATACAGACCCTGAAGTTAATTTATTGTTCTACTTGAGAAAAGTCAGTATCCTTTTGCTTGTTCAGGAAAACAAAACATATTTTTAAACTCTGGAAACTGTGATTTCTCTTGCATTTACAGAAGGGTTTCTATCACACTTCCTTGAGAACGTTTTGTCTGTTGTGTAGGAATGGAGTAAAGTAACTGGCTTGCCTTATTATGGATGTAACAATGGCTCCAAGTTTACACAAAGATAAGGATCACCTGGGGCTATTGATTAAAACGTGGGTTTCAGAAGCAGAGGCCATGGCCTGGTGGGAAGAGTGCTTGCTGTGCAAATGTGAGGACCTGAGTTTGAATCCACCAAATTCACGAAAAGCCGGTGTGCTAGTGCACATCTGTTACTCCAGTGTTCCTATGGAGACATGGGAGGTGGAAGTTCATGGGCCAGCTAGCCTGGGGTTCACAGCACAGCACTGAACCCTGTCTCAAGATAAGGTAGAAGGTGAGGACCAACACCTGAGGTTGTCCTCTGACCTCTATATACATGCCATGGCTACACACACATACACATACACACACGCACACACACACACACACACACACACACACAGACTTTAAAAAATGGACTGGGGCTGGAGAGATGGCACAGCAGTTAAGAGCACTGGCTGCTCTTGCAGAGGACCCAGGTTCAGTTCCTAGCACCCACATGATAGCTAACAACCATTTGTAACTCCAGTTTCAAGGGATCCAGCACTCTCTTCTGACTTCTGTGGGCATTGCTCGACAGGGGTACACTTACATACATGTAGGTAATATACTCATAAACACATAACAAAATAAAAATAATAAATAATTTTAATGGACTTCTCTGGGCCCATTTCTGAAGACACTGAGCCATTTCGAAAAACGCTAGTTCACAGAGCCCTTGGCTTCTTGGGCAGTATGACAATGATGAGGTTCCTGCCTTTTCTCCAGGCCTAGCTAGCATGTCACCTGTGAGCTCGATTCTCACCTGAGTGGCCCCTCCATGTGGAGTGAAGTCTTAGAGAGCCAAAATCAGCCCACGGCCTCTAAAATTGAGCTCTGACCAGTGTTGGCCAGTCTGCCTCCTGGAAGTAGATTTGGCTGATTCCCAAACTGAAATCTTGAATATGGGAACCCCCCTCCCCACCTCTGGGGCAAGTTTAAAAACTTTTTACATCTCTGCCCACACCCAAGCAACAAATAAGTGCATCCAAGGAGAGACTCTGGCAGACCTTTTTCTGTTGTTTGTTTTAATACCCAAGAAGTTTTGAGAAGTGCCCTTAGAAATGAAATGGGCAGGGCCTTGTTTGTGTGCTATTTCTATTTTGACATTTCATATTCATATAACTGGATATATATGCTATTGTTACCAGCATCTTGCTCTGGCCACCCCTTGACTTCCTCAGACCTGTGATTCAGACACAACACAAAGCATGATACAGAAGACAGGCAGAGTTGATTGCAGAATAACAGAGCCCTCAGGGTGAGAGGAGGCAATGTCCAAAGAGACCACTGTGAAGGAAAGCACTCTCAAGGGTGAGGGTGGACAATGACCAAAGGACCACTCTGACAAAAACATGTTTAGGTAGGCCATATATTATTACTAAGGTCTCTGGAACAGATGGCTCCCTGAGACTCATTTTCCTGTGCAGGAGATTGGCAGGCCCATCTGGATTAACTACTAAGGGATATATTTCTTTGTTCTCTACCAGAAAGCTTCCTTCTAGAGAGTAATCTCATAATCTTCCTGGCAGTTTACAAAAATCATGTCTGGACAGGGCCAGAGATGCAATGCAGATCCTTTAAAAAAAATCATGTAACAGAGCAGATTAAAAAAATTAAAGAGAAAACAAAAATGAATGTATAAAAATGGCCACACTTGGAGTAAGGATGTAGTTCCTTGGAACAATACATGCATGAAGCCTTGAGTTCAATACCCCCGGTAGCACTTGTAAAGTGGGTGTGATAGTACACGCCTACAATCCCTGCCCTTGGTAAGTGGAAGCAGGAAGCTCAGAAGTTCAAGGCAAGCCTGGGTTACATAAGACCATTTCTAAGGGGGGAGAGAAGAAGGGGGAGGGGATGCTTTAGCCTTCCTGTGCTATCTCCACCTTACCAACATTTTGTCTAATCTGCAGTCTACTTTTACAAGGTATTTTATATCTTAAGGAAAGGCCCTATGATGCTTTCCCCTTCCTTTCACAGGATATATCAAATTCTAAAAGGGGGCAATTACAATACTTTCTCTCTTCTGAAAAACTGGACTCAAAGTGACTATGGGAGTGGGATCCACCCTTGACCTTGAACATGCTCATTTCTTTTGTTGTTGATGCTTTTATTAATTATACATAATAATGGGGTTAGTGTGGCATTTTCATAAATACACACATATATACATCATACATAATGTATTTTGATTATAATCACCACCATTACTCTCTCTTGTCCCCCTCCCACTCCCACTGATCTCCTTCCTCTTCCTAACTATCCCCCTCTATTTTCATATAACATTGTCCAGTAAGTTTTACTAAGGTTGCTTACAGGAGCATAGGTACAGGTTATTTACAGGAACATGGGCACCTTACCAGTGGCTATACCACTGAAGAAAATCTCTCTCTCCCCTCCGCCTTTCTCTCCCATCAATGTATGGAGCCTTGTGAGCCCCTCTCCCTCCATGATGGGATGCTGAAGGGCCCAGTCCTATCAAAGTCTTCTGCAGGTTGTCATAGCTATTGTGAGTTCAAAACTACAGTGGGCATGTTATGCCCAGAAGACAACATTCTACAACACTCTGACCCTTTCTCCAGTCCTTAATATTCTTTCTCCCTTGTCCTCCAGCACTATGAGAAATTTGCTCATTTCTAACTAGCTACCTAATGCTGTGGCAGCAATGGGGTGCAACCTCTACCCTCCCTGTTGCCTATTTAAGAATGAACTGAAAGCTCAAAGTACTTAGTCAGGTGACTATAGATTTCTCTGACCTCATTTTTTAATGCCAAGCACCCAAAATTTACTGTGTTCTTTTTCAACTATTGTTTCCTTGATCAATAGAGGTAGTATTATGAATTCTTCGATTACATTGGAAATTTTCCATTCTCAGTGATTGGAATGCTTTTTAGATGCCTTCCCCCTCTGACTTTGTATGATTAAAAGGATAACACTGATGTGAAGTCAAAGTTGGAGTGTTTCTAAGCAGGAAAGATCAAGACTTAAAGTTCTAGGAGGTCTTCCTTACTGATCTGGAGTTTCCAGAGACTGATTATTTTCTCCATTGGTCATAGCTATTATCTCATGAGATGCTGCAATCTAACTGATTTACACTGGATATCAACTGTAAGGCAAGCACGGTGCTTCAAGAAGGACTATGCTAGGGTTAGAGAGATGGCTCCGCCATTACAGGTACTTGCTGCTCTTGCAGAGGACCCAGGTTCAGTTGCCAGTACCCCCATCGGGAAGCTTATAACCACTTGTAACTCCAGTTCTGAGAGATCTGACGCCCTCTTCTGCCTCTGTCGACCCTATACACACACACACACACACACACACACACACACACACACATACACACACACACACACACACACACTCAGGCACACACATAAATAAAATAAAATATTTTTTAAAAAATTCTATACTGCAATAGTTAGTGTTGTCAATCTATAATCATCTGGGAGATAGCCTCTGGGCATGTCCATGGAAGATTTTCTTAATTATATTAGTGGATGTGGGAAGACTCAATTGTGGATGGGAATATTCCCTGGGCAGGGGATCCTGGACTGTATTAGATGGAGGGAGCAAGCCGAGCATTCGCATGCACGCATTCATAGCTTGTTGGTTCTTGGCTATGGATGTAATGTGACTGTCTACTTCAAGCTCCTGCTTCTTTGACTTCCCCACTGTGATGGTCTATACCCTGAACTTTAAGCCAGAATAAAGCTTTTTGGCCATAAGTTGCTTTTGTCAGTTTCTTACCAAAGCAACAGCAGGCATATACCCATCCTGATGTCGTTCTTCCCACATGTGAAAATTTTATAAGAACTGAGAGTTCAAGTTCCTCTTTCTTCCTTAACCATAATCCTTCCAGTCCGACTCACAGGGACAGAGTATGGCTGGGGAGGAGGTGACTGTGGTGCCTGCACAGTGATGATCTCAAGATACGACCCCATCTCCAAAAAGATCAGGTAATCTACTCATAGACCTGCGACCCACTCCCATACGGATTCCCTGTACGATTTCTTTCTGATAACACTGTGGACCACATTTCACTCAACAAAGGAATCTGCAGTACCTCCAATTTTTATGAGCTGAAACCAAAATAAACAATCTTATAGGTTAACATTCAGAAAATGTGGTAGAGTTGTGCTATTTCCTATCAACGCTGATCCTTGATTTTACAAATGGTACAAACTAAGGTTTAAGGGAATTTGTACTTTCACTGCAGGCCATAGAACTAATGAGTGTTAGGGTATGAGTCCCAAGTCCAACAGTCTGTAAAGCCAAGATTCTTTTTGTAAGGTCCCACTCCCAAGAGAGCTGTGAAAAGTCTTCTGTTGTACTTCCTGATGCCCCTAAAGGCAGGTGACCAAGTTCTAGCTGCACTCATGGGTTTCGATTCCAGTGAAATTCCTGAATGACTTGCTTACAAGTTCTCTCACTTAACTTCTTCCCCAGCCTTCCAAGGCTTTTTTTAAAACTATGTGTAACCCAGATTGTTTAAAGGAGATAGGGAGATAGGAACTCTTTATTTGACTATCTTTCACAACTGACAGAACAAAACAGGTATATCAATCAAGAACATTTCAACTCCTTTGTTTTTTTAAAAAAAACAAAACAAGATAGTTTAGCGGATAAATGACTTTCTTAATTATGATATTTCTTTTTAGGCAGCCATGGTTAAATTCAAAATTATTTATTTGATGACTTAGCTTTAACATGTACTCAATTTTGTTCATGTCAAAGTAATGATAATCATTTAAATGCATATTATCTTTTTGTTTTCTAATACTACTGCTCTCTGCATGACTTCCTTTTTGCTTCGTTATGTAAACTCTGAAGTCACTTCTCTGTCACTGCCTGCCTGGTCCCCATCTGTTCTCTCCATGGAGCTGCTGTCACGACTGTGGAAGGCATAGGAAGCACCAAGTCCAGGATTCACCCTGTCCAGGTAGGAGCACATTTTAATAAGTTTAAGATGAACATGTTGTCCTGGTTAGCTTAACCATCAACTTGACACAACCTAGAATTATCTGGGAAGTGAATCTCAGTGGAGGAATTTCCTAGATCATATTGGCCTGTGAGTGTGTCTGTAGGGAATTGTCTTGATTGTTAATTGATGTAGGAGGGCCCATTCCACAGTGGCAGCACCATTCCCCAGGCAAGTAGTGCTGAACTATATAAGAAAACTAGCTGAGCACAAGCCAGCCAGCCAGCAAGCAGTATCCTCCATGGTTCCTGACACACTTCTTTGGCTGGAAAGTGAATTCCTTGTCAAAGGTAATGCTGTGTGAAATAGCAGCAGGCTTGCTTTCAAGTTCCTGACTTTCACTTCCCTTGTGGAGGGACTGTGACCTAGAATTGTAAGCCGAATAAACTCTTTCTCTCCCAGAGTTTCTTTTGGTCAGGGCATTTGTCAAAGCAACAGAATAAACTGGAACACAGGTCTCGGTGGCTTTTATAGTTGTCCAGACCTTGGTTTATGATTTTAGAGGGTGAAGGTGGCAGATGAAGGGCTCGTTTGTTCCCCCTTTACAAAAAGAAACATTACCTTTTCATAAACCTTTTTTCCCTCTGAGGCTGTCTTTATTCCACCTTAAGTTTATTATGTTTCCATAAAAATGAGGAGGAGGTGCTTAAGAGAAAGTGGCTCCGTTATCACAGTGCCTCAGGGAAGAAACCTCCAAAGACTACTGGGGCCTACCACAAAGACTACAGAGAAGACAACTCACATTCATCACATTCATCTTGGTTTACATAAGCAAGTGAGGGAAAACTAGGTGCATGATCTATGTTTGATTGTCTAAATAACCACGCTGCTAATTCTAGCCAGAAAATATAATTTTGTGACCTACATATTTGCATTTAGCATTTGTTACTCTGTAATGGTCTTCCATCAGGATTGCATAAGTATCCCCCAAATTAAGTCATAAACTCTTTGAGGGCAAGGGTTTTTGTCTTATCCTAAAAATACTTTTCCATATCACAAGGAATTGTTGTTCTATAAATATTATCAGCAGGTATGGGGCAATGGCTCAGTCAATAAAGTACTTGTCTCAGAAGCATGAGGAACTGAGTTCTAGCACCAGCACTTATAGAATGTCAGGTGCAGCAGCATTTGCTATAGTCTCAGCACTGGGAGACAGAGGCAGGAGGATTCCTGGGGCTTGTTAACTAGCTACTGTAGTTGAATCCATGAGATCCAAGTCCAATGAGAAACTCAATACTCTCAAACTTCGTAATGATCTATTTTCAAGATTTCAACCCACCGAACAATTATATTGGTTGAGTAACCCCTTGTTTTCATGGCTTCTACCCTTTGTTAGCCCCCTGATCATGCTGTGTGTCATTTTGATGCTCGCTCCCTGTTTCATACAATTCCTTCGCCAACAAATTACTACCATTGCAAAAATTACTACCAAGCAGCTCATGGTCAATTATCAAACTTTGGATTCTCCCAAGATAGATGAGTTGGCTCTTAAAGCTTGTGATGACACTTCTTCATTATAAAAAAAACAGGGAGAGATGTTGGGGGACCCTGCTGCTAAGGTTGCTGTCCACCATGTCCAGATAGCTCTAAGGGGCTCAGCACTATATGGAAGGACTCCCTGTCTCAGCGGGGGCCTCCTGCTCTCTGCCTGACTTACCTGGAAAGTGCCACCAAGCATGG